GCCACGCGGCTCGGGCCGCCAATGGAAGTGCCGGACTCGGGGATGTCCCCCGGACCCGTTTGGTCCTGAGCGTCGCCCGAGGGAGTGGGCCCAAGCGACGTGCCCGCAGCCTCGTCGCCAGCTGCCCCAGAAGTTGTCGCCTGAGCGTCGCCCGAGGGAGTGGGCCCAAGCGACGCGCTCGCGGCCTCGTCGCGAGCTGCCTCGGAAGTCGCCATCGCCTCGTCCTGGCGAAATCCGACTTCCTCCCGAGCGGCTTCCCCGGCCTGGCGGGCCCGGGCGGCCTCCTCCCGAGCGGTTTCCTCGGCCTGGCGAGCCCGGGCGGCCTCCTGGGCGGCCTCCTCGGCTTCCCGTAGGCGATCCGCGGCCTCTCGCCGGTCAGATTCCCGCCTGAGGGCCTCTGCGGCCGCCGGATCCTCGGCCTCAGACTGGCCGGACTTGGAATGGCGGGAGGGACGCGACGGGATCTCGCTGAAACAAAAGAAAAAACCAGAAGACGAACAAGATGGGTGAGTGAAAACTCGCGTTAAGAGAATACAGTCACGATGGGTGAGAGACGAACCTGCGAGGGGGTCGGTTAAACGACCACTTTGGAGGGGAAATGAGGTTTCCCCGAGATGGTTCTGTCTCCCCCATCTTACGGGGCCGCTTCTTCATGCGCTCCCCCTCGGGCTGCGATGTTGGCGCGGCCCCCTCCGGGCGCCTGTTACTGGCACGCGCCGCCCCGCCCCCTCGGGGAGGAGATGGGGGAGGTGTTCCTCCCTGCTTCCTCTTCCCCCGGGCGTCGGCAGGGCGGCTGCTCCCCGGGCCCCTGTCGCGGGACCCAGAAGCACGACCCCCTCTCGGGGTAGATTGTTCCCCCCTGCGGCTCCCGCCTGCGCCGTCGTGGCCCTTTGGAGCTCGCTCCTCTGAGGCTCCGACCGCCATCATAATGGTCAGGATGGAGGCGCGGTCTGGATCGCTGCAGAGGGGGAGGATTCCTTGGGGAATGAGGGCCGCCTCTACGGAGTTGAGATTCAGCACCCGTTGGACCAATATCTTGAAGTCCTCAGGAGCCCAGTCCCATCTCACTCCCTGGTGGGTCCTCGTGAAGTCTTCGGACCCGGTGTACTCCCAGGCGCCCCGAGCGCGTCGCTGGAGCGGCGCAATCCGACGACGGAGGTAGTCGCCGTACACCATGGCCCCTGTGAGCCCCTGGGATCGCAGGCCCGCCAGGCGGTCGAGGACGGCGTCATGGCCATCCCCCAGATCTACCGGCGCCCGCCAGCTGGAGGCCTGCGCCGGGGGCTGGCTCGGAAGTCGGAGGCACGCTTCGTCGGCGAGGGGAGTATAGAACCAGTCGCTCTTCCAGTCGTCCCACTTCTTGCGGAGGGCGCAGGGGATGTAGCGGTTCAGCACCGGTCCCCGTGGCTGGAAGTAGCAGCCGCCGACTACCGATGGCGGCGACACCGACTGCACGGTGAAGAACCACCGGAATAGCCGAAGAGATGGGCGCACCCCAATGAACATCTCGCACAGATGCGCGAAGATGGCCAATGTCATCACCGCGTTGGGGGTGAGGTGCGCCATCTGGAGATCGTAGAACTCCAGAACATCCATGAAGAAAGAAGAAAATGGCGGAACCAGCCCTGCCATTGCAAAGGGGAGAAAGAAGACCGACCGCCCCGGGTAGTCTGGCGCCGGGCGTCCCTCGCCCAGCGTGACTATCTCCCGGCCGGTGGCAGATTCCGGCATGAAGCGGCGCGGCAGCCCAGCCTGCCTCTCGCTCACGATCCGGGAAGGCGGCAGCACGCTACCATCGAGCAGAGCGGAACCCCGTGCCATGGCGCCGGAGGAAGAGAAGATTAAGAGCGAGCGCGTGTGGCGAACGTAGGGCACAGGAAAGAAGGAGTTAGGGCGCAAGCGGCGAAGACAAGGGGAATAATGGCGAAAGGAAGGAAACAGATCCCTTCCTCAGTACCCTTATACCCTTGCCAACGCTGTGCCCGGCTCCTCGCTTCTCGCGCCCACTATTTCGCCCCCTCGTTTCTCGCGCCCACGCTTCCACTAATCCCATTCGCCCGCTTGCGGCGCATGAGGTGGATATGCGGTTGTGGCAGTCGAGATAGATCATATCGTGCGCGCGTTAATTACGCTCGCCGACCGAAGCGACGTTACCATATCTCCAGACGAAACGAATCGCCATGTCCAGATTCGTGTGCTACTCAAGTAATGTGGCAGTCTTGAAGAGACCGCTCATTGTTGACAGCCGAGTTACCATTGCCGATGTGCGTGGTTTGTGACCGTTGGGTTTCTGCCCAATTGTGGAGACCGGTCCCACCTGTCACCAGGTCTTAGGAGTGACGTCACGCCCGACCGTTTCCCTTAAAGAGGGCGATCGCCCTGGCATAACGCCGGGGGCTACTGTCGGTGACATGGGATCAGGAGTATCATGACTAGAGGTTTGAGGCAGACACAATCGCACACGTGGCCTGGTACCCCCGAGGGACGTCGGGCCCGAGGGTGATGCGTTCGCCCTCCTCTTAGTCCCCCCGAGGGGGTCGGGCCGCACCCCCCTCGGCCCCAAGGGCCGAGGCGCCCCGACCCCTCGTGGGTTTTTGCTCCGCGTGTATGGGTTAGGTGAGCACAGTGGGGCTCACCTAACCACATTTATTGCGGTTGGGCTGAGCGTGTCACGCCGTATGTAACGCAGTGCAGTGCACTCGTTTATCCGGTCTGTGACCAGTCACAGACCGGTCAGATCGCGGGTTAGGTGGCGACAGGCGATCTGACGCACGCCTCGCCCCATCCCGTCAGGACGAGGGCTTCTAGGCGCTCGTCCCCAGCTGGAGCTAGCGTGTTACCTCCCAGAGATGGCACGTTAGTCCTGGTCAGATATATGCCAGGCTTCATCCTAACCATTACAGGCAAGATGTTGTGTGAAGAAGGGTGAGCATGTAGGTTGCTAAGCTGACACGTGGTGGACAAGAATGACCGACGTGACTGGTCTGATACCGGTCATGTCGTCAGCAGACAGCCACGATTCCACGTCGCGCCTGCTTCCGGCGGAAGTGGAGGTAGGTATGGGCCGTCCCATCAGAAGGTCATTCGGACGGCAACCATACAAGTCTCCGTCTGTTTATGAAAAGGTGGGGTAAGTCCCCATAAAAAAGAGAGAAATGGTGCATGTGGTATCCCCTTAAGATATAAAAGGAGGACCTTGCCCACTGAGAGGGGGGACTGGACTTTTCCAGATTAGAGACCCAGAACAAGGGAGAGGCTGGCTGATACTTTGTAGCTCCTTCATACACAGATCTCCCAAAAGACAGGAGTAGGGTATTACGCTTCTCAGCGGCCCGAACCTGTATACATCGCCCGTGTCTTGTGTGTTTCCGGTCTCGCAAGCCTTCCACATACAGAGAGCTTAGAATCTCTCCCTGAGTCCCCGGCCGAACCGGCAAAGGGGGGCCTGCGCGGTCTCCCGGTGAGGAGCCCCACGCTCCGTCACGCCCTGTTCTTTTTAGCTACTTGTATTGAATTTACCATCTTATTGACGAGGATTATTTGCTCCACATCTCTAAAAATAAGTTTTATAAAAAAAAACTTTCTTCTACCGCATTACTAGATCCCTCGATGTAAGCTATCTATTAAAGTTTATTTATCAAATAATTTAACTTATATATATAATTTTATAGATAAATCAATACAATAATTCAATCAGTAATATGTTTCAAACTGGTGCTTACAGCCAAGTACATCACTTTAAAAAAACACGAATGACTAGTTGTGATCGTGGAACAATGTTACAGAGGGATGCCACGGATGAACCCATGTAACATCTATACATAAACACTGTTATTTAATTGTTAATGCGCGTCAGTGTGTGCGTGCGATTGTTTCCGAGAATCTAGATATGCAACCCTGTTGTCCTATTGATAGCATCCTGCACTTCCTGATTAGTACAGCTAGCACTGTTATTATAAATTTGAGTAGTCGTGCAGGCTGCAGCTCGAATGCATGGTCAGCCTGCTAGTTTCTTTTTTTCTAGTATCAATTAACAATGTAGCAAAATGAAAGTCAAACCATAGTTCCATGCCCGAGATTTTGACCAATGTATTATACTCCTCAGCTCATTAAACTGACGACGCGTATTGCTGGCAACGCAAAAAGTCAACGTCGTTAGCCCTAATTAACGAGCTGCAGCTTATCTCTTACTCCGCATGCATATGGTCCTGTTCAAAAATGTTCTTTCATTATGAAACCTTGTTTAGCCCATTTCTCCATACATAAACTGTTTTATATTTGAAAACTAAAGCGCCTGAACCCGAACCATTTCAACCAGCTAATGGATAGAAATTTAGTGAAAAGAGAAGTTGAATCAGGTAGTTCGCTCGTTAGGAGGACAAAGGAGAAGAAATCCATCATTTTTCGCTTACACATTTTTCAGACAACTAAGCAGTTTTTTAAAAAGAATTCTATATACTACCCCGTCCTATAAAAATTAAATTTCTAGGGAATTAAGAACATATTAGTAGGATAGACAAATGACTACTATAACCCTATTTAATGAGCACAGTACATACACATATTCAATATATAAACTTGATTAAAAGAAATATTAAGACAATGGGTTAGAGATGGGATGGAAGGAAAGAAGATTACAAGGAAATGCAATCAGTTTACTGGGTCCTACATTAGTACAAATACAATTTTTATGGGACAAATGTTCAAAGGTAGAAATTCAATTTTTATGGGAGGGAGGTAACGATTACTTTAAAAATCATATTAATTTATTTTTAAAATTTTACGTTAATAGCTTACCTCAATTTACGTATCTTACAAAATCTTTTCCTTTCCCTTTCACTCAAAAATGATCTTAAGATGTGCAACTGTGCATGGGTCATCCGCCAGACCGCCACCGTCCGTTTCCACAACCGTGCCAGTGCCTCCCTGCTTTCAGTGCTAGCTAGCTTCCTCTGACCTCTACCACTTTGCTGCTATATAAATATGACCCTCGGCCATACGCCTCCATAAACCTAGAAACTTGAGAATTTCACCCTGAAATTTAGATAGCTAGGTGTGCCTGTGGGTGGTCTCTGGCTCACTGGGTTTTGTGCAATTGTGTTCGTGTGTTGATGGCAATGCACTAGCTGTTGTGTCGGCATGTACAATCCAGAGCAGCAGCAGCCGCCGCTGCCGCACCACCAGCTGATGGCGCCGCCGCGGATGTCCTTCTCCAGCGACTTCGCGTTGGAGCCGCCGCCGCCGCCGTCGGGGCCCGGGAGGGCGTCGATGGGGGACGCGGACTTCGAGTTCTCCGCGGTGGGCAGCCGCCCGATGATCACCGCGGACCAGCTCTTCTCCAAGGGCCGCATCCTGCCAATGCGGGAGGTCTCCGGCGGCGGCGGCGGCGGCGGCCGGGCCGTGACGCTGCGCGACGAGCTGCGAGGCCACGACGGCGCCGCCGTTGCCGACGGCCGCCACCGCCGCGCGGCCCGGCCGGCGGGGAGCGGCGGCGGCGGCGGCGTCAGGTGGAAGGAGATGCTCGGGCTGAAGAGGCCGGGGCACAGGAAGCACGGCGCCGCCGACGAAGGCGGCGCATCTACCCACGACCTCGATCACATGGTAATGTGTAGTGGCGCTGCTTCATTGGAGGATTTGTTACTCGTTGTTATTAAAGATATATTTTTATTTTTCAAAGACGTAACCTCTCCGTCTCCAGGACGTTTTGAATTTGGTCAAAGTCAAACTGTTTCGAGTTTTACTAAATTTATAGATAAATATAATAATATTTATAATACTAATTAAATATATTTTTATAATATATTTATGTTGGGTTGAAAATATTACTTTTTTTTTCTATAAATCTAGTCAAACTTAAAGTAATTTAATTTTGACTAAAGTTAAAACGTATTGAACCTGAAATGGGGGAGTAGTATTCATGTACACGCCACTGTACATATGCGAGTGTGCCCAGTGTGCCCTTTTTTAACCGGGGCTTTTAACTATTTGCCACTTTTAGATTTGGCAATTAACTATTTGCCACACCTATCTTAATGACATGTGGGTCCACATGTGTCTATGATATGTGGGTCCAGTGGCAAATAGTTAATTGCCACATCTAATAGTGGCATATAGTTCAATATCTCTTTTTAACCCACACACTTAAAAAGACGGCAAATCTTTAATCTCACAAAATTCGTATTAACCTTTAGGGATTTGGTTAATTAATTTGACATGAACAGTTTTCCTCATGCATATGTCCGGAAATATCATATGTAAATCAAACATTTATGTTATAACTACATGTATATCTTGGATTGGATTTATTAAGTTAAGTTGCATGCACCAATTAAAAAAATTAAGCTGATGAGAAAATAAAGATGGAATTGTTAAGTTGCATGCATCATCCATGGAAAACATCGTGTGTTTTGTGTGCACACTTTATACATACCAACTAATAAATATCACAAAAAAACAAAAAAAAAGCATGTATATATTAATAGTGTTACATGTACTTGTAAAATCTTAACCTCAACCTAAAATTCATTATATTTTAGGTTTAAAAAAATAAAAAATCCTGTCAATTTTAAGAATAGTAAAAGTCCGTTAGAATTTTATTTTTTTTCTTTTTATGTTGGATGAATTTGAAGATAGGACTTTACAATATAATACAATTGAAAGTATAAGTACCATTACTTTTAGAATTTTTAGTGATATTTATTTATTGGATATGCTCTCCATCACCCAACTAATGTAAGCAACCTTCATTGCAGGATCTTGGAGGAGGTGAATGAATGAACACATGATGTATCTTTTTTTCTCTGCTCACCGTCTAACTGCTGGTCTTCTCTGCTCGGCATGGGTATCAAGAAATTAATTTGAGGCCATTTCCGTTTACTTAATTTTTTACTGGTTCCTGATCTGGAGTAGAATCAACAAAGAAGATTAGGTTTTTCTCATCCACCAAGCTAGCTAGCTCAATGCAGTTTTCTTAATTTTGCCCTCTCCTTTCGGAGCGCTAATTGACTGTATTTTTCCGCCGGGTGTAATCGGCAGGATCGGAGAATGTCCTTCTGTTTGTGCGCTTAACTCTTTATTATCTACTTTGTCAACTTGTACAAAGATGACGTTTGGAAATTAAATGAGGGGAAATCAAAATTCGAAAGAGAGAAATGTTGTGCCAGTTAAATTTATGTTTCTTTGCACACATCTACGTGCTACTTCCTCTGTTCCATATTATAAGCCATTTCATTCTAAGAGAATTAAAAAATATTATAAATACCACTCCGAGTTTAAGATTTCTTCCTAAATTTATTGCTTAATTGAGATGTCTCAACTCACGCGTCATGACCGTTTTATGCATATGTTATATGATCGATGTGGTTCAAACACATATATTCTTTTTCAGTGATATAGTGTCAACAAAGCTCATCTTTCCTATCTCGAATCTATCAAAGGAACTACTCACTGCTAAACCCCATGAGGTAGCACAATAGCTCATCTTCCGGTGACCATGATGTCAAGAACATAATTCGTGACCACGTCGTCGCTCAATGACGTGGTGAGCGTCATGAGTCGGGATGCCATAGCCAAGTCATTGGTGCTGTTGAGTTGTGATCCAAATTCATTTACACTTAATAAAGGTCAGTTTTTACCGTAGAGGGGGCGGATCGTCATCCCTTTTAGGGTTCCACCATATATATACCTCTTGTAAGCCGCCGTGCGGCGATGTAATCTCACCTCAGATATAGTGAAGATATTTTGCTGGCTGGCACCCGTGGTTTTCTCTCTCCTGTTTTGGAAGGGTTTTCCACGTTAAATCTCGTGTTTTCTGTGATTGATCTATTGTTCTTTATCGTTTATTCGCCTATCGTTTCCTAATAGGTGCTGGTCAATCTGAACAGCGACCACAGCTTCACTCGGTTTATTAGTATTCCTTAGAGCGTGTGCGGGTAAAATGGTGCTCTCTTCAATAAAATAAAAACACTATACAATTGATTAAGTCGTGGTACTAGAATGGTGCGTAGAATGTAACTGCCTCCATAAGAAAGACTTTATTTTTATACATGCATATGTCCAAATTCGTTTATAAGGCTGAAGTCTTTTTAGACATAGGTATTGTCTCTGTTCTAAAATGACTTTATTTCACCTATCATATACATATCAATACAAAGGTAAAAAGACTAAAATGTCCTCCACTCTATCAAATTGTAAAAAAGAAGAAGAAGCATATCACTTTATCTACACTGGACATGGCCCACTCTGTAACCTCCTGTGGAGTTCCACGACGAAAGGTCGGCGAGGAGCGCCTGTTGGTTCATGCATCCGTGTGCATGTCCCTCTGTCTCAGTGTTTCTGTTCCAGTGCGCGCGTGCACCAAGCAGCAGTGTCTGCAGTGAGCTAGCCAGTGATGGCCTGATCACAAAATTTTATGCCGCTCATTAGCTGGCCATCCTGCCTTTCGGCATCCTTGCAGTGAAACTTGGTGGCTGGCTGCTGCCGGGCGGCCGGGCAGGAGACTTTCTCCTGTGGCGGTGGCCTCGCGACAAAAACAAATGTTTCTGATCAATGTGGGCGGCGGCGGCAGGCAGCGCGCGGAAGGCAGAGCCCAGGCTGTCATGCCAGCTGCGCGCGCGCTGCGTCGTCAGGGCGCACATCGCATGGCCTGCGCTGCGTTTCCCGGCCACGGACATCACGCACTTCACTCCGTCTTCCGCGCGAGAGTCAAAGGCAGCTGGTTCACGACCACTTCAGGTGGTGACGCCCGCCGCGCGCGACGCACGCCCGCGCGGTCCTGCGGATTATTTCGCGTCATCTCGCTGTGGATTCTTGGTAGGGTAGGTACCGCGTCCAGAACGTCCATTCCCTTCCCCGGTACTCGCGCGGTCGCGCCGCGCCGGCTCGTGATGACCCTATACCAGTTCGGTAGCAGAGCGGCGTGGACGCGTGGCCCACCAAACGTTAAAGGCTTAGTTACACGGAATAAGTCTACTCTGCCTCCCTCCATTCATGCTTCCGGTTGAATCACACCCCTCAAACGCAAAACCGGGTATAACATGCCCCCTAACTTCCAAAACCGTTGCAAATCGATTCCTCCGACGGTTTCGTCATACGTGACATTTACGTGGCGGGTTGACTTGGTCTTCATCTTGTGTGTCATCGATGTGGCGCTTACGTGGCACTGAAAATAAAAACAAACCTAAGTAAAAATAAAAAGAAGTTTTGGACCCACGTGTCAGTTACTCTCTTTATACTCGGCGACGAGCGAGATTGAGAGAGTGGCGGGAGCAATGGGGCGAGGGAGCTCGTTTGAGCGGCGGGGTGGTGAGACTGTTGGAGCTCAGTGGAGCGGCGGGAGCAGCACGAAGGATGTCGAGGTTTGATCCAGACTCCACCCGAAGCTCCCCCTGCTGCTGCTGCTCCAGCTCAGAGTCATCAGAGGACGGCTCGAGCAGCCTCTTTTTCTTGGGCACCGCCCTCTTCTCCGCTTTTGGGGAGGCCTTCCCCTTCTTCGCCGTGGCCAGTTAACGAGGTGGCGGCGGCGGCGAGAGAGCCAAAACTACCTAGAGCGGCGGGGCGACGAGAGCTCGGCGGGAGCAGCAGGATAGCGGGAGCGGGGAGAGAGCAGAGGTGAGGAAGCCTCGCCGCCGCCGCCGCCTCATCCCCACCTTCCTCTCCTTCTTCCCTGCTGACGTGTTGAGCATCACGACTCCATGACAAGCACAAGCACAGTGACGATGGCGGCGAATTTATGCGGTACTCATGGCCATCTTCCTACGTACCCGACGTGAGTGACGGGCTCCATGGTCTCGTAGAGAAGATGGTGTTGCAGCCGAGGTTCCTGCATCAGCACATGTCGGTCGCCTTCGCCGCATGGTGCCATTTGGCCAGACACGGGGTTTGGCGGGAAGGAGGAGGTGGCGGTGCCCGTGTGATTAAAGGAGGTGAGGCCAAACCCTAGGTTGGAGTTTCCCATGGCGGCGACGGGGGGCAACTGCTGCTGCTGAGTTTTTGGCGTGTGGGGTGATGGGGTTGGCGCTACTACCGTCGACGTCATCCCTGGCCGCAGCGGCAGTGGGAGTCAACACAAGCTAACTCAGCCAGCCAACGGGGTCAATGATGCCACGTGTGACAAAACCGCCTCCGAAACCACCCGGGGAGTTGATTTGCAATGGTTTTGAAAGTTGGGGTATATGTTATACCCCGTTTTGTGGTTGAGGGATGTGATTCAACCATGCACATGAGTTGAGGGAGGTAAGTAGACTTATGCCTAGTTACACGGACAGGCCATGGCCCATAGCTGATATATGCGGCCCGTACATAATAGGCGGCGACGGGAAGGTGATGCGTTGGCCCAGTGATGCTTCTCCTTACTTAGGCGGCTTGGCCAATCCACATTCACACGTAGTGGGAAATCGCAAGTTAGTTGTATTTTGGATTTTGTTTCCTGATTTCTTGGGGAAGACCTCGATACGTCTGTTTCAATCTACAAAAGATCAAATCTGGTTATTCGACTCTGATCATAGTCAAATCATATGTGTTTTGTTTCAGTCTGTTAGATTCATTGGCAAATTGCTACTTGTTTCTATAATGCGTTCGACTTTTCTTTAATATAAAAGTGCGGATTAAATTTGTACCAAAATCCAAATCCAAATATATCTCTCGGAAGTATTAGCAAGATCTCAGGCCATACCATATATTGTTCTGCACAATTCAGATTTACTCCAGTATCCCCTGCATAATACGGCGTCTCTGTGATATCTTGGTATCACAATCGATCATCGGCCGCTGCTTACGCCCGCCCGCCCGATCGAGCAACGATGAAGAGGAAGAGAGAGGACGCCGCCGCCGCGGCGGATGGAGAGATCCCGGCCGCCGCAGCGCGCATGGCTTCGTCGTCGTCGTCGTCGTCGTCGTCGTGGGGCGCCATCTGCGACGACGTCGTCCGCAACATCTTCGCCCGCCTGCCGGCACGCGACGCCGTCGCGTCCATGGCGCTGTCGAGGCACCACCGCCGCCTGATAGCCAGCCCAGAGTTCGCCCGCCTCCACTGCCGCCACGGCGCGCCCCTGCCGCGCCCGCACATCGCCTACGTCGCCACGGCGGTCGTCGCCACCCACCGCGACATGTTCGGCCGCGTCAAGTCCCTCGAACAATGGGCCGAACAACGAGCGAAGCACGGCTTCGGGACAGGGGCTTTCGCCTGTCAATCGAGCTACGACGACCCAGAGCAGGACCGCTCGTGGACGTACCATGGCTTCCACGTCGCCGGCGACGGCCGCCGCCGCGGCACCGACCCGATGCGCGTCCTCGCCAGGCAGAAGCGCAACGACCAGAACTACGTCGGCACGTGCAACGGCGTCGTACTCCTTGCCGGCAAAGGGGAGGCGGAGGATGACGACCCTTCCATCGGGCTTCTCCTGAACCCGGCCGTCGCCGGCGACGAGATGAAAGTCTCCCTCGACTGTTCCTCGCCGGACAAGAGAACGAACTATCACATATCGGGCCTCGGTTACGGTCCAAGAACAAGAACCTACAAGCTCCTCGCTCGCAAGCACGAGTTCGTTCTCAACCTAAAAGTATACCCAAACGGCAGAAAGACACGCGGACGCGTTTCTGGTCAACCTCTCTACATAGACCGTGCTGACGAGTTGGTCGTGTACTCGTTGGGCACCGCGGCGGAGCAGCAGCCGCGAACGGTGCTCGCCGGGCTGGACAACGACAAGATCCCCGGCCGATCGCTTTACATGGACGGCGCGGTGTACCTCCTCAACGCCGACAAGGGAACCGTCCTCGCCTTCGACGTCGACGATGAGGCCATCACCCCCATCGACTTGCCCGGCGAGCGTGTCGTCGTCGAAGGTGGTGGCGAGCCTCGCTCGCACGCCAAATCGGATCTCATGGAGATGTCCGGACGCGTGTGCGTCGCGACAGCCGACGGCGGCGACGAGACACGCTACGCCATATGGCTGCTCATGGGCGATCGCCGGTGGGAGCGGCGGTGCGCGTTCCGCAATGACTACTTGTCGTCGGCGGCGAAGGTCGCCGGCGTCTGGGACTGTGGCAGCGGGCTGCTTATTTTATTGCAGTCCGGCGACGAAATCTCCATCGTTATACACGACGATGTGACGCAGGAGGTGTCCCACTTGGACGCGCCGCCGAACGCGTCGCCGGAGGAGGAGTCGGACTACCGGATCTGTTGGGGTTACAAGCCGACGCTCGTGTCTCCGGCGAGCATCATCGGCGACGGCGAGCTCAGCCAGCACGAGCAGCAGCGCCGTGACCTGGCGGCCTATGTGCTCGCCGCCCTGAAGCCCGCGAAGGAGCTGGACAGGCGAATGGGGCAGCACGCCGCGCTGCGCACCGTCTGCTTCATGGAGTTCTTGGTCCGCATAATGCAGAAGCTCCCCAGCCTGTTGCACCATGGCATCACGGATTTAGATAGATTTTACTAGTCTTCTGCAGCAAAAAAAAATGTAGCAGTAACTAACCTAGCCTATTTTGGGCTTCTTTTGGAAACGCATAATTTCACTAGAGTTCGTTTAATTCTCAATACCTGCTGGAATCATAGAATTACCTCCTGCCTCGTTCTGAATTGCATTGCTTCATTTGAACATTCAATCAGTACCGTTTTTGAAGATTGTTAATCTAGCTTTATTGGAGCGGGGACCGAGAAGACTGCATATGTTGATCAGTACCAGGGAATGCAACCGTTGGTCCCTGCATGTGTGCTAAATTGATTGGTTGATTAGTACCTGGAATTTATGTAGTAATCATGGCTGGGGCAACATTCTCGCGTGGTTTTAATTTGTACAAACCATAACCAGCCAACCACCTGTCCTGTCACACTGACCAAATTGGAGGGATCGCAATATATAGCAGCAGCACGGCTTGCAGGTGCAAGAAGCTTTCGAGATCATTATGTTGATGGTTACTTGAATACTTGTTGATAGCCAAGTCAAGCAACAGGCTACGCGTACCAAATCCTCTTCAAACTACTGTAGTAGTCCTGTTCAGTTTTGTCAAAGAAAGTTTAGCACTAACTAATTGGAGTATAAGCGTAGCTTAGCTTGCACACGTACGGTTTAATTTGGCACCGCTAATACGTACACGGTGCGTCGGCGATGGCCTCCTCATGCATCGGTCGTATACAGTGGATGTACGTACGTACGTATGGTGCTCTGTTCAGTACGTCGCCCGACATGGCATTGACTGTGATCCAATGCATCGGCCGGCGGCCGGCCGTGAAGACTGAAGAACTCAACCGATATCGAATTACTCCTACGTGACATCGCTGTCCTCCTTTTCTATCTGTCGGGTCGACAAGTGCCCTCTGGTTGCTTCCCTGTGTGTCTTCCCAGTAATCGAATAAATTGTTATAACTAATATTCTCTCCGTTTTGTATTATAAATTGTTTTAATGTTTTTGATTTCTATAAGTTTAACTAAAGCTATATAAACCATAGCAACATTAACTAAAAAAACATAATATCAAAGCATATTGAATACTAGATTTAACAAAACTAATTTGGTATTATAAGTGTTCCTATTTTTTAAAAAACTTAAACTTAAGACAAATTGACTTAAAAAAGTAAAAAAGACTTATAGTATAAACGGATGTAGTACAATGCATCATCATTCATCGACGACTTAATTACGTACAAGGGGCAATTAACTTAACTCAATCAGGTCTAGGACTAATATTCAGTCATCAGTCATCCGACTCGATCCAATCGGCCGATTGATCGATAACTAACATTTCAAATTAATTAGTCAACAATACACTCGTATTTTCGGACTAATATTAATTGTCGCCATTAACTTACGCACAGGAAATAGATCGAACCGAGAACACGAACAGGTACATTACATTGGTGCAGTTACGACGCACGAGAAGACGTACACGCCACCACCGCGTCAGCATTTACACCGGTCGGCGTGGTCGCCGCCGCCGCCGCCGCCGGCCTGCTGCTTGGCGCGGCGGCGGCGATGGAGTTCTTGCAGTGCGCGATGGCGGCCTGGACGGCGCTGTGCAGCTCCTCCATCGTGCTCTCCTCCGACGACGTCGACACCTTCACCGACAGGTGCCCGCTGGCCACCGGCGACCCGCGCAGCGACGCGGGCGCCGAGAACAGCCAGCTCCCCTCGTGACGCTTCGACGGGGCGGCAGCGGCGGCGGCGGCGCCGCGACGAAGGCCGGAGATGATGAACGAGTGCCGCCTCCGCCGCAGCTCCGTCCTCCTCCCGCTCTGATCCCCGCCGCCACGGCGGCGATTATTGGACAAGGACGACGCGAAGAAGAGACGCTCCACCATGGACGCGTACTTCTTCACCAGCTGCGCAATGTCCAGCCCACCTCCTCCTCCTCGGCTGCTGTTCCCCTTCACCTGCCGCTTGCTGTCGCCGCCGCTGCCGTCCACGCTTCTCCGCCACGTGCCGACGCCGGAGAAGAGAAGCGACGAGAGCCTCTGCTTCGCCTTGGCAACGTCGTCGTCGTCGTCGTCGTCGTTGGCTGACCCGTGGCCGTTGTCACTCGTGGTTTGCTGCTGGTGGCCGTGGCTTGCAGCTGCTGAGTAGATGCCGCTGCTGAGGTCGCTGCCGACGCGGCGGACTGGACTGGACATGCCGGCACACGCACTCGTCGCCGGGAAGGCAGAGGGCTCGACGTTGCTGGCGGTGGGGGAGGGAAATTGGCTGGGTGGAGATGGAAAGATGGTTGTGAAATTGTTGGGAGGAGAGGAACAAGGGTGTGGTGAGGCATGGACTAATTGGTGGGAGAGATAAGGCCATGTTAAGATGGTACTAAAACTTTTTAAAGTACCTATCACATTAGATATTTGAACATTAATTATAAATATTAAACGTAGGCTATTAATAAAACTCATCCATAATCTTGGACTAATTCGCGAGACGAATCTTTTGAGCCTAATTAATCCATGATTAGCCTATGTGATGCTACAGTAAACATTATCTAATCATAGATTAATTAGGCTTAAAAAATTTGTCTCGCGAATTAGCTTTCATTTATATAATTAGTTTTGTAAGTAGTCTATATTTAATACTCTAAATTAGTGTCTAAATACAGGGACTAAAGTTAAGTCCCTGGATCCAAACACCACCTAAGTGTGGGAATTGGGAATAACACGTTATTGCCCTAGTTTATTGACGTACTCCCTCCGTCAAAAAAAAAGACAAACCCTGGTTTCCGTGTCCAACATTTGACCGTCCGTCTTATTTAAAAAAATTATGAAAAAAAATTAAAAAGACAAGTCACGCATAAAATATTAATCATGTTTTATCATCTAACAACAATGAAAATACAAATTATAAAAAAATTTCATATAAGACGGACAGTCAAAATTGGACACGGAAACCCAGAGTTTGTCTTTTTTTGGGACGGAGGAAGTACATGGCAAGATACACTTGATAATGCAGTAGTAAGGGTGTGTGGTTGCAATCCTGTGGACCCGTGTTTAATCCCTAGCACGCTCAGAATTTCACTCCCTCTAAAATGATGGTGAGTTTGTCGTGCCGATGGTAGCTCTAACGAACGAGAAGTACATTCTTTAGGGAATAGACGATGTGGGAAGAAAGATGATAGAAGTAAGTACAAGGGGCAGCACAAATCCCAAATTATCTGGGAAGTTCAAAACTTCAAATATGGTTAGTACATAGGAGAAGAAAGATGAAAGGAAAACTGATATGTAAGAAAAAAATTCTCAAATCAGTTGAGAGAGTCAAATTATATCGGTTTTAGTAATCGGATGGTCAGATTTGAGGGATACGAATCAGCTTGGCCTTGTTCGCCTGTTCCATTACGATAGCATATGTGATGAGGCCCACGGATGATGTCCGGTAAGCAAACCAGGCCCATATAATTTGGTCCAGTGTGTTGCCTGCTCTCTTTCTTCTTCGGTTGTTTTCCCCTTTCGTTCGTCAGTAGTCCGTGGACCATGGCCGCCGCTTCCCCTCCGCAACGGCGCAGAATCGTTTCTGCAGCTGCTGGAGCTCCGCGAGGCGATCTCGGGAGAGATCGCTCCCGTGCCCTCGGCACTCCGCCACTCCCGTCTCCTCGCGATTTCGCCCGCCCGCTGCCCGCGCCAATCTCCATCCCGCGAGCAGCTGCGGCGGCGGCGGCGGCGGCGACCTGTCTCCCTTCCGCCGCATCCTCGCCGGTGAGCGACCCATACGGAAATCCTCTCTCGCGTCCCCTCTATACCCGCACCTTCTCTCTTTGCCTTAGGCCCTTAACATTAGCTTCTCTTCTAGATCTGGAAGCATGCTTTACTCTTTACCATATATTTGCTGTTTTTCTTATTATTTTTTTGAAATTGAAGAGCACAGCTCTTCCCCTTCCGTTAAAGGAAGCGAGCATGTTCAGCTACAGAGGAAAAAAAAACGAAAAATGGAAGGGAAGCAACATCAGATCACAAAACAAATAGTGCCATCCCACCATTCTGTATGATCTCCACAAGACAACAACAACATATAACAACTAACAAATTACCTTAAAATTAGTAGTGGGGGCAGTTTGTTTCCAGAAGAAATTCAGAATTAGATACGAGTTTTTAGAACTGGAATGGGAACCCACCTGGTATAAATCGGTCTGATATGTAACTGTAACATCATATTTTAGAATTAGATATGAGTGTTTACCTTTTACAACCGGGATGGGAACCCACCTCGTATAAATTGGTCTGATATGTAACCGTAACATCATATTTTAGAACTTCAGGGTCTAGTTGACTGTTGATGAACTTCTTTGGTCGACCTAGAATAAAGTTGGATTGGGCATTGTGACAGAAAAGGTTATTTCGTAATGTGTGTCCTTAACATCTCATACAATTCTAGGTATGTAGTATCTTATTTCTTGTGGGAAATTTGAGACCTCTAATTCAATTAAACCTGAACATGACTTTTATTTTTCTCAACAGATTTCTAAATTAAATTGATTGACAATGTACAGTAAATACAAATGTATAGAACAAACACAGTCTTTCTGCTCTCTCAGTATCTCCTTTATTTTTAAGTTTGATGTCGTACACCTCCAATTGCCCCATGTTGTTTCCTTGTTTTTCAGAACAACACGGTGAACTAGTAATCTAGCATCACCCATGCCCTTAAGCAGCAATATTTCTACTCAGAAAACCCACTATGAAGTTCTTTCTGTGAATGAAGGTGCTACATATGATGAGGTCCGAGCTGGATACAGGGCTGCTATCCTAAACGCGCATCCTGACAAGTCTCAGGCAAAACTGGATTCACTTGTGTCATCTGTTGAGCATGGGGAATTCTTCAGCGTGCAGAAAGCTTGGGAGGTCCTACGTGATCCCAAATCCAGAACAGAGTATGACAAGCAGCTGCAAACATCAAGGCAGAACTCTGCAAACATTGCTTATGAAATCGAGATCGAGGAAATGACTGTTGAAAGCACTGGTGATGCTATGGAGTTGATGTATCCATGTAGATGTGGAGATCATTTTTCGATCTTGTCATCTGACCTTGCGGAGATGGGCATTCTGGTCGACGATGATGGGGAAATATATTTTCAGTCATCTGACTGTGTATCAGCTTCTGTTGTTTTGAGCTGTGGTTCTTGTTCACTTAAAACACGGCTGGTTATAAATAGAACTTCTTGACAGTTGTGTAGAAATTGTACTCTTCATCTGGAACAGTTTTGAACATGTTTACTCCTCAACCGCTGCTTATGAGAAAAATATAAAATATAAAATTTCAGCTAATCAGGAATTTGTTTCATTATAACCATTTAACTTGCTAGAGTAGAGTCCCTACGGACTCTACCCATTTGAGAGCTTCTGACATGTAGCATTCCTTTAGGCAGCACTCAACAACGAACCATCTTTTTTGTTTGGAATATGAATGATGCATGTGACATAAATCCTTTTTGCTGTTCCTTTAACATCGTTTGATCATTTATTCCTCTTCTATCTGACTTTGTAAAGTATTTGGTATGATTATTTTTCAAGAAATAGGCGAATATTTCTGAATAGAGATATCTTTTGACCTTGAAATGTTTGGAATTTGTAATGCCATCAAACCTGAAAACTAATGACTACAAACATTATATATTTCTGAATAGATATTTTCGCTATATTTTACATGCCAAATTTGAATCTGGCAAGTATATCACGCCAGAAATATGAGCACCGTAGATACAGGGTGAAAGAAAATTTCAGTTCAAGTGGGCTGGTGCAAAATTTGTACTCACTGCAGCTTGGTTTTCCTCGGCTCGTTTCCAAAATTAGTCTCAAATGATACAGGAGACTGTAGTAAATCAATTTTGAAGAAAACTCGAAAGAAAATGAAGCTTATATGTGCTTAAGGAGGGATCTTTTTTCATATATGCATAAAAACGGATAATGCTTGAGGTCGGATGTGTGACATGAAGAGTTTCATCAAATGCTCCATCACTCATGTGACCTTTCTTTACCAACGGAAACATTTTTTTGTAGATGATCACCAAAAACAACTTTACTCGCGCCAGTCGGCCTACGCTGACATGTAGAAATGGGATATTTCCTATGGACAATAGCAAATTATTGATGCGGATTACCTACTTGATGATCATTTGGATGAACCAAATAGTTTAGTTTAGAAAGTGGTCTAAGCAATGTAATACTCCCTCCATCCCATATTAAGTTCTTTTTTGACTCATCCTATTTATTCTAAAATAACTTCATTTCTGAATAATTATTGCATCAGAGTTAGTGAGAGTAAAGAAATATTTACATTGGGAATAGATAAAGTGAGTAATAGTTGGATTAGGATTAGATTAAGTATGGGGTATTTTAGTATTTTGGTGTTTGTATTGGTATGTGTGGGGAATGAAAAATGAACTTATTTTGGGACGGAGGTAGTAGAAGTTTTAATAAAAGCTCGTCTTTACAAACATGGAACAAATAATCCAAGGCAATAATCAGATGAGAAAGCTAAAGAAGAGAACATGGCCTAGATTAAGGCTTTGTTTCATTTGGGGGAGATGAGAACCTAATTCCTGCGCACGAAAAACGAAGCAGTCCATTAACACGTGATTAATTAAGTATTAGTTAATTTTTTAAAAAAAGGATCAATATGATTTTTTAAGGAACTTTCTTACAGAAACTTTTTAAAAAAAACACCGTTTAGCAGTTTGAAAAGTGTGTGCGCGGAATACGAGAAGGAGGAGTTGGGAACCTGTGTAGCCGAACACAGCCTAACACAGTAAAACCTTATTCTATAGTGGGGTTTGGGATGCACAAACTATGGTTTGTGGGACAAGTTTTAGTAATTAGTGCATATAACTATGATAAACCACGTCAAATTAGGCCCGTTTGATTTTTCAGGAACTTTTGTGTAGATCTTTTGAAAAGATTATATAGTTTATCAGTGGCTGCGTTTGGCTACACTAGTTACCGTAACGGCCGCGACTGTAGCAGTTGTGAATGGCTGTAGTTGGCAGCTGGTTTGAACTGTCGCAACCGCAGCAAGTCCCTCTTAACAGAGCCGATTTAAAAAACATGCAAAAATAATCCACTAGCCACGATAACGGGGTAATAATTTTTTAGCCTTGCTCATTAGGCCCGAGCCCGGCCCGACCGAACCCGGGGAAAACTGGGCCCTGGGCCTGGACAGTGAGTAACTGAGTACCGAGTAGGCAAACTTTTGGAACCCACCCCTCTGCCGACTGTAGACTCCAGGAGTCCAGACTCGGCTTGTCTTCTTTCTTTTCTGCTCTTTTCCCCGCGGCCATCCCCGTCGCCCCACCGCCGCCGCAGGAGCCCGCCGAGACGATCTCCTCCGCCGAGCAGCGCCGATCTCCCCTCCCGCGAGCAGCGGCGGCCGGCGACCTGCTGCTTCTGCCGAATTCTCTCCGGTGAGCATCCCCGTACGTACGCGCATCCCCTTCCTCATCCCTCTCCACCCACGCCTTCTCTCTACGCGGCTATGCCTTAACCCTTAGCTTCTCCTTCTAGATCTAGAAGTTGCTTTTCTCTTTGCCTTTTAACCTTGGTACTAATAATAGCAGTTTGTTTCCGAAGAGAATTTTAGGGTTCAACTGAACCCCCATGCGTTAGCTGTGTACATGGATGCAGAGGCCGGGTTTATCCCATTTTCTTTTTTTTTTTAAAAAAAAACTGAACACCCATGCCACTCGTTAGGTCAGGTCGGCCCCTGTTGTTGGTCTTGTGATATTTTGGAAACCAAGATGCTCATGGTAGTCACATACTTGGTTCTAATCAGAACAAATTGGATCGCACATCATGATTATATTTGATTTGCACTTATAAATGATTGATGCTTGCTGTTTTTTTTTTGTTTTTACTGAAGAAACACGTTGTTAATTAATTAGTTAATTGTTATTGCAGATTTGCAGGCCAAAGGCCTGATACAATTACCAAACAGAGGCTGTTTTGAAGACACTATAGTTAGGGGCTTAGAGTAACCTGGTTACAGATAATGTCTGAGTTCCTGGATCTCGAGCTGCAGGATGGGATAAGGATGCCTTGGAATGTTATACCAGGAACTAAGCAGGATGCTGCAAACTGTGTTGTTCCCGTTTCCGCCATATATACTCCTCTCAGACCAAATCCTGCCATTCCTGTTCTTCCTTACGGCCCCCTTCGTTGCCGCATGTGCCGTTCTATTCTCAACCCTTTCTGCGTTGTTGACTATGTTGCCAAGATTTGGGTTTGTCCGTTCTGCTTTCAGCGCAACCACTTCCCCCAGCACTACTCCTCTATTTCAGAAAGCAATCTCCCTGCAGAACTGTTTCCTCAATATACTACAGTTGAGTTCATGTCCACTGCCGAAACTGGTCCTGTAGTACCACCAGTCTTCCTCTTTGTTGTTGATACTTGCATGATTGAGGAGGAAATTGATTATTTGAAGTCTGCTCTAGCGCAAGCGATTGAGCTCTTGCCAGACCAATCTCTTGTTGGATTCATTACATTTGGGACATACGTGCAGGTTATAATATATTCAACATTCTCCCATTGATGATTCACTGCTTAATGTACTGGTACTAATTTATATATGAATGTATTTTGATCCATGTAGGTGCATGAATTGGGTTTTGGTTTGTTGCCGAAATCATATGTCTTCAAGGGGACGAAGGAGGTTACAAAGGATCAAATTCTTGAACAAATGTGCTTCTTTGCAGGGAAAACAAAACCTACAACAGGTGTTATCGCGGGCTCAAGGGATGGCCTTTCAGCAGAGAGCATTTCTAGGTTCCTGTTGCCTGCTTCTGAGTGCGAGTTTGTGTTGAATTCAGTAAGAATTATGCTTACATAGTTACATAGAAGAATGATACTAATATTTATTATACAGGATAAATTTTCACGGCTTATAGTACAATAGTATTTCTTCTCACCATTGCAAATTATTGATACTATTTATCCTTGTAGATTATAGAAGAACTGCAGAAGGATCCTTGGCCAGTTTCAGCTGATCAGCGTGCATCAAGATGTACTGGAACTGCATTAAGTGTTGCAGCCAGTCTATTGGGGGTCTGTGTCCCAGGATCAGGTGCTAGAATTATGGCATTCATAGGGGGTCCATCTACAGAGGGGCCTGGTTCTGTAAGTCAAAATTCTCTAATAAATTATCATCTTGTCATGTTTAAGGACACACCAATGGCCTACTGTTGGAACTGAGGTTATTCATTCATACCCACCTGGTTTCAGTCTCTAGGATCATCATCTCGTTCCTTATTAAGTTGGAGCTCACATACATGCATGCGTGTGCAGCTGAAAAGGATATGGTTGTGCCTCCGCATTCCTATCATTTGTAGTGGACGCACATACCCATGACTGTGCATGTGGTATGACTGGGGTGTTCATGTGATTTGTGCCTCCTTATACTCTACAAAAGGATGAAAAAAATCTGGCTCAAGTTCTTGCTAGTGGTGTTTTAGTCCCACATGGCTATTATAGTTGCAGTAGAGTAATGAAGTTGGATAGGGCTGCTATCCAGGTGAAAGACTTAATGTTCATATGGGATGGACATAACTGGGATGTCTCATATTTAGAGTAATTGTAATGAAAAATATGTGAAAACTATGTGAAAATTCTCTAGATCTATGTTTTGCTGTTCTAGAAACAACCACTTGATTTGAGTTTCTACTTAAATTATCTCACAACATTTCATTTTTGTACAAAGTAACTGTCATTTTATCTCCTTTTCTTTGTACTCACCGTAACTCCTGACTTATGATTGGGTAATACACAGTCAGGGAATAACAATGTAAAAAAACGTGCACATGATGCTCCACGCCTGTGTATTGATTATCGCTAAGGGTTTTCTTGTCTTAAATGTCTGCTCTTGATATATTTTTTTAAGAAACTGCATGAGATATTCTTATACCTTTTTTCCCCAATATACCTGATGATGTTCTTGGCAAAATTTCAGATCGTATCCAAGTCCTTGTCAGAACCAATTCGTTCACATAAAGACCTTGATAAAGGTTCTGCTCCACTTTATACCAAAGCTGTTAAATTCTATGAGGAGATCTCAAAGCAGCTTGTACATCAAGGCCATGTGCTTGATTTTTTTGCATGTGCACTTGACCAGGTTTGCTGCTTTTCTCACTGTTTATCATTTAATAAGCTATCCACCCATTTCATCGCAAAGGATCACATATCAACTTATTGAATGAAGTATTATTTTATTTAGTAGTTTTAGTCTGTTAACAGGACTTGAACAAGTACTACTATCTTATTATTCATGGAGGATTGCCACACAAGCACTCTTGCGTTTATATTATATTATTACGCAAGCAAAAAACATTTATTGAAGCGTTTTGTTTCTTAAATGTCCAACAGCTCTATAAAATATTGTTTTTGGTGCATCAGAATTTAGGAGCACTATCAGCTATGTGCACAATGCCTGTTTAGGGATCATTTATACAAACTGTCTAATAGTTGCATATGCATTGTCAAAAAATGAATAAAAGCAGAAATATCAATACACAAGCTGTCGGTTTTAACTAACTAGTAATTATGCACGTGCAAGGCACGTTTTGGAAAGATAAAATATTGGCATAAAATCTTCTATATATGAGCTTACACAAAGATGAACTCTTTGATGATTCTCCTACTGCAGATTGGATGATAATCTTGACATTTCTATTAGTCGTCCACCAAAAGCAAGTTTATCAAGCGTACCTTATTTTACCAACAAAGAAATTCAGAAAGCTATACATTTTCACATGAGCAACCCACTTACCTAAACCAATAAAATTTCAGATTAAATCACATATGTTGTTGAATTCCATAACCCTATTTTTAAGTGATTAAGAACTGTCGGGAATAAACATAGTGTCCACCCTAGGAGAGCATGCACTTGGCCTTAGTACATAAAAGTTATAAGTTTTTTCATATCAGCATCCAATAATTCTTTTTCCCAGTATAAAAGAAGTAGATGAAGACAGGAAACTATTTACCAGAGATAACCACCTTAGTAAATTATCCTGGAAACTCTTAAATCCAAACGATTGTAGATAAATGAACATTGTAATAATGTTTTAGGCCGGCTTTTCAACCGTGTACATCCTCAGTTTTCCTATGCAGCTAGTCATTAATAATTAAAACATGTGAATCAACAACAGCATCATACCAAAAGATTCTATAAATGTGCAAAAAGTCAACATGATGAAAGAAAGAGTATAAACTCACCCATGCCACATTTCTTGCTAGGAGCATATGCTCTGTTCATATATCAGGAGAGAATGGTCAGTAGTACAAATAACAACCAATCGCACAAAATAATTTTGTGTTCATCCATCAGAGTAACTTCAGTTTAACATTAAATAAGGAATACTTATCTATGCTCATAATTTACTTTCTGGTAAATAGAAAATTGTAAATATCTAGGTGAATACATATGGTGAGCTATTTCTGCAATATAAAATTCACATTTATATGTGCATAGATGAACGAACAGTACAGATTTGAAAGCATGAATGGATACACAAATTATCTCTAGAAAAAGTGTGCAGTCTGCACTACAAAACATAGAAACATGATGTAGTATATCAATTTTAACATATACAATCAGTAATCACGCTAATCTGCTCTGCTTGTTAAGCCTCACAGCTCATAACAACAACACGGTACATTTCTTTTGAAGCACTTCTTCCTTTTGTTAGCCGTGAGGGAGGGGTACTTCTTTCTAGCATGTTTTCTACTTAATTCGAGTCAGCTTCAATTTTTAATATCACCAAGAGGTCCTGTCAAAATTATAAATGACAAAAAAGAAATTGTTCTTCAGGGATATGAGTGATAACAGAACCTGTGTTGGTCGGCGATTTCCTCTAGATTGTCAATACTTAGAAATAGAGAAATCTTCAAAACAGGAATCAAATTTTCCACGTGATTTTCCCTATTCCAAAATCCTCTATGCAAGCCATCTATAGAATAAATAAATTTCGCATGGGGAATTCCATCAAGCAGGTAGTACTCAGTGCAAGACGTAACATGAAGAGGAAGAAGACATAGTTGGATGCATCGATTTTCTTCTGAGAATGCAGCTGGTCAGGAGGTAATTGTAGATGAAAGAAGAACAAACCATATTGACCTCTTGACGATCACCTGCATCAAATCAAACACACATGTGTGAAACTACACGTATGTGCTTCAGGAAAATGTATAAGTTCTGTGAATGATCAGAACTACTATACGTAAATAAAACACAAAATCATTAATTGGTTTTGCCAACTAATATGTTATTAGGAGGATGTATCTTAGTAAAGATAGAAGAAGGTAGAAGGATGCAGGTTTACCCGGCAGCAATTTTGCTACACAATTGAACACCATTAAGAACCAAGATTGAGGTCCCCTGCAACCGAATATTTGACGAAAGCTTTTATCTGTACTGCTGAAAGCCACAAGCCCATATATGTTAAACTGATGTACACTACATGTAATATATCACAGATATTTTCTAACACACAATATGAGTATCGCAATCTTTTTCTTTAACAAATATTGACATAAGGAGGACTAAACTTCATCACAATCATTTGTTTATTATAGACCCCAGATCTTATATATGTAATGTAAACATTGCTTTGACCGAATTTGAAAACAACGTATGAGCACTATATATTTTTATGCCTGGAACAAATGATGTAAACATTTGTATGACCTGAAAAATTCAGACAAGCATTTACCTATCACAAAAAAAAAAGACAGAACCTATGCTACCAGTCATTCACTGAGCTACTGCCATCACCCCACGTAGTTGAGCACAGTCCAGGAGATACTCTAAAACGACCAGTTTACCTGATTGGTCAGTAGGTAAGCATCGAAATCTGAACACATTAAAACCAAGCTGATGGTTTCTTGGAAAGTAAACTGATTTTCCTATCCTTTAAAAAAAAAACTGATTTTCCTACTTCCTGCATCAAAAAGCCTGACACACAGAGATAAATCAACTTGAGCCAGGTAAAACATAGACTAAACAAGCATTTCGTTAAACATCATTTGGGAAGAGGGAGCATCGGTTTTTCTACTATTCCTTATAAGGACATGGACTCAGATTATCACATAAGGTAAAGTGCAGAATGCAAACCAATATCAAACGGAAACATTTAAGATCTAACTAACAGGTAATAGTTAGGTGTTTAAGCATCTATGAAGCTATTTTAATTCACATAATTAATAAGAAAATTTTAATCTCTCTCAAAATTTTTCCAACATAATTCTTTCAAAACCCCAATCAGGTGGTTCTGGGAATTGCAATGATGTTACTCATAATTTAGTTGCTTTAAAGTTTAATTTAGTTCCGATGAAGGCGTTTTGACCCACTTCGGTAGCTCCCTCATCTTGTCTAAACTAAGCAGAAGAACAATGGGCAACAGGCCATACTCTTTGCCATAATTCATACCCTGATAAACAAATATGATTATGTTAAGACAATCAACACACATGAATAAACTCTCATCAATCTGTTAGCTAGGCATGCATGCAGCAGACAAACCAAATTTTCAGAAAAGGCAAAGACAAAACAGAGATGGAACCTGAGAGGACGAAAGGTCTGAGCAGCTTTGGCGTGTTGTGATGCACCCAATGGCGTTGGGTGGCTGCTGGAGAAAGTCCGGCCGGCCGAGCCATCCTAGGTGATGGCGAGAACGGAGTACGCTACTATGCTTGGCCATGGCCGGCGGCTGGAGGAGGTTGGGGCCTTGGGGGAAGGCCACCACTTGTGGAGAAGACCAGCCGGCAGGAGGCGGAGGACGTTTGATGGCAGCTTGGATCCAACAGGCAACGGGCTGAGGAGGTCAAGAGCGCCGTTGGTGATGGAGAAGATCGCGCATGCTGGAGCAGCGGTCGAGTGTGGCGGTGGCGGCTGGGGCTGGGGACGACCTCCGTTCGGTCTCCTGTGGGGATAGCGATAGAGTGCGGCGACGGCGGCAGCAGATGGGGACGACCTGGGCCGAGCGGTCGTCGTTCAAGTCAAGCATCAGCAGCAGCATCTCCACCGGTCGTCGCGGCCATGGTCCTCGTCGTCGAGCCATCTCCACCGATGCAACCCGCCTCTCCGCCCGGATTGCCGCCTAGAGCACGTCACCGCCGCCTACTCCGCCTCCAGATTCACTCGGTCGTCGGCACCATCTCACCATTCGTCGACATGCGCCCGCCGCCGGCCATCGACTCCACCGCCCGGCCTCCCGCCAGCATGGTGCTCCCCACCGACGCTGCCCTCCATCACCTCCACTCCACCGACGCCGCCGGCCCGTTGCCCTGCGCTGACCCCGTCCACACCGGTGCACGGGGTACTCGTCCCGCTGGTCTCGCCGCCCCCTCTGCCTGGAGCACGCCTTCACGCCGCCAGCCGGCCCGTCGCCCTGCGCCTCTCCACCGCCGACCGCCACCGTCTCCGCGCTGCCTCCGCTCAACCTCTGCTCCAAACCGCCGCTGGGTCCTCTTCCGATCTGGAGGCCGTTCTCGACACTTCGCCTCGGCGCGCCGCCGGCCTGGACGATGGGGGAGGAGGCGCGACGGTGGAAGGCGGAGAAGGCAGAGGAGGAGGAGGCGCGGGCGGTCTGGGCGGTGGTTTCTTTTCTTTTTTTTTGGCGATTTATTAGCGAAGAGAACGATTGCGAAGTGCTTAACCGCCGACGAGATCACCGGCACCTCCCCGGCGAACTCTTCTCGACGACGGCGGCGGCGGGAGGCGGCGACCCGGTGACGCTTGAGGGGCGGGCGTAGCCGCGTGCGAGCGAGCGGCGCCGGCGGGCGCGCAGGTGGCGAGCGGCGGGCGGCGCCGTGCAGGAGGATAGGATGGGTTATTTTCTTTTCTTTTTTTTCCGCTAACCGCTGTTTACCACGTGGGAATCGCTAATTGCAGAGGTTGATCCAACTTTTAATATAAACCGTTGGATGAATAGATCTAAGGGTCAGGAGAGAGAGGTGTTTGATGAACTGGTGCTTTTTATATTGGTATAGATTAGCATATCATGAAACATCACTAATTTTCTTGATTCTTTGCTATGATTTTGCATGGTTGCCTTGTTTAGAATTAACAGTTTCTTGTCATATACTCTTTTCTCAGGTTGGTGTTGCTGAGATGAAGGTTGCAGTGGAGAGGACTGGGGGAATAGTTGTGCTTGCAGAAAGTTTTGGCCATTCTGTTTTTAAAGAGTCACTCCAACGCATTTTTCAGTCCAGCGACAATGATCTTGGCTTATCATTCAAGTAAATATATCTTAGCCCACTTGGTTCAGCTGGATTTTAACCTGCTCACATTTCCATGTTTAGTTTGCCTTCTATCTACTGCAAAATTAGAAAATAAAAATAGCGAAGTTCCTTGAGTCAGTTCTTTCTGTTATGTGAACACTCACGGGAGAGTCATTTTTCATACCTCCTTCCCCCTTCCACTTCCTCTCACTCACTCACTTGTGATGCATGCATACCAGAGAAGTTACAGATAAGTTAGAAACAAATTGCTTGCCAGCTTGTGTGCAGCTAATTATTGTTCAATTCAAACCATCAACATCTGTTCATCATAGGTGAAAAGGGGGCTTCAATGACATAAAGAAAACCATTGTGGCATCTAATAAACTGCATCAGCGCAACTTTATTTTTGAGTTTTCTGATTCCTGTACATAAACTACTTTGCAGTGGTATATTTGAAATTAACTGCTCAAAGGATGTCAAAATTCAAGGCATTATTGGACCTTGTACTTCCCTGGAGAAGGTATAGTATGTAGTTAATGACATGATTTAAACATTTTAGAATGATGATGGTATTATATATTTTTATGGGTTTTTTCTCATGTTATTGTTTGTACAGAAAAGTCCTCTATCCTCAGATACAGTTGTAGGCCAGGGAAGCACTAGCGCCTGGAAGATGTGTGGTCTAGACAGGAAAACATCAATATGTTTAGTGTTTGATATTGCAAAAAAAGATGGGCCCGATGCAATTAGTCAATCAACAAGCAATCAGTTCTACTTCCAATTCTTAACATAGTACGTAATCTGCCTTTTCCCCTTCATAACATCTTTGACTCTTAGAGATGAATATCCATCTCACTTGGAGATACCATGTGCAGTTATCAGCATCATGAGGGTCAGATGAGATTACGAGCTACTACACTTTCCAGAAGATGGGTTGCTGGTTCTGGTGGTGTGCAGGTAAGTTCACTCCAGGAATCAATTTTCTTTAGTTTCTGCTTCTGTCTGTACCCATTTTTGGGACTAGTTGAGCTAATATGTTCAGTTATTCTGTCTGTCTCTTGTCAACCTGTTTCTGACAATTGCTTTCCATGTCATAATTCAGTCTCTGTCCATAAACAATTATGTTTAGTCCATTTCAATGCATTAAGTGTCAGATGATGTTTCCTCTTTTTTATGGGAAAAGGAATGTATATGCTTACTGGATTGCATGTGTTGTAGGATCTAATAGATGGTTTTGATCAAGAGGCAGCTGCTGCAGTCATGGCACGCTTGGTCTCATTTAAGATGGAAGCTGAGGTACTCCCTTATACTCTTAAATTATTGTAATACTTAATGCACACATGACATACTGTTTTGCTATTTTGTGGAGATGGAATATTGTACCATCAAAATATGTGAATGATGGAAATTTAACCTTGTATCCTTTTCTTGTACTATATATGTAGATGACCACCACTTTTTCCCCCTTTTGAAATTTTGAGAATACGGGTAGTCTAATTGATCTATTTCTTCACTTTTCTTAACATATCTTGAATTAGTTGAAGCATTTAAAATATGAACTCAACAGAAGTGGGCCTATGCCTTTTCATGCTATCATTTATTAGTATGGAATCATTGTCTTCCTAGACAGATAGTCTTTTTGAAAAAAGGCTGTCGATGAGTGAGCCTATGTTGTCACGGTGCTGATTTTATTGGCCATGCCTTATGAGCATGTGTTGCGAGGAGAACAATCCTAGAAATTCTCACATTAAATAAGAAACAAAAAGCAGAGGATCCATGTATTGCCGATATACACAAGCGAATTATAGTTTATGTGGTTTCTTCTTAAATTGCCCACATAACTTTCTGCACATGGTCTTGAAAGGGAATGAAATATGATATAATGGACTTTCATTTATACACAGAGAGCACTAATTGGTAGTAATAGAACTATGTAGAAAACAAGCTTGTCTGGCTCCCAAGGCTGCTTAATTTGTATCAGTTAGAACTGCTGCAATTATTTTTTTGCTTATGTTTTCCTGCATAAGCCATACCCTAGATCGATCTTGCTATTGAAGTCCTATTATACCAGTCTCTTATAGCATTATCTTGATGTTCCTTTCAGGCTGATTTTGACCCAATAAGATGGCTTGATCGAGCATTAATTAGTATGTGCTCAAAATTTGGAGACTATCAGAAGGAAACACCCTCATCTTTCAGTTTATCTCCACGTCTATCAATATTTCCACAATTTATGTTTAATTTAAGGCGTTCTCAGTTTGTTCAGGTAATCTGTTTCTCATGTTCATTCAGTCATGCTGAACATATACTCTCAGTTTGATTTAGACTATTGAGCGGATTGTTGCCACGGATATCTGCTTGATTATGGGGATAAATTAAATATTTTAAGAAATGAACTTAACAAATAGCTTAAAATAGGTGATCTCAGCAATGCAGTAGAAGAAGGTTTTTTAAGAAAATGTGTATTTCGAACTGTGGAGCGATCCGGTGAATAATCTGAAAAGAACTGGTGGTTATATTTCTCTGTTTCTATTCTCAAATAATTTGCTTCCCATGCAGGTGTTTAATAATAGTCCAGATGAAACTGCATATTTTAGGATGATGTTAAACAGAGAGAATGTAGCGAATGCAGTTGTGATGATCCAGCCTTCACTTATATCATATTCATTTCAATCAGGCCCAGAGCCTGTTCTGTTGGATGTAACTGCAATTGCTGCTGACAGGATCCTTTTGTTGGATTCTTATTTTACTATCGTCATATTCCATGGGATAACCATTGCGCAGTGGCGAAAGGCTGGCTACCAAGATCAGCAAGGGCATGAGGTAATGTTTTGTAAGCCAAACCATGATAAGAGCAGATACGATTCAGCAGCTACATGTGAACTTTCATCTAAGCTCGTGAATAAATTGTCTAGTTTGATATGAATTATGTAGGTTTGGTTTTGCATTAAAAGTACAAAATAATCATTATAAATATTGTCGTACTCTTTAAAATATGGAGCTTGGGGTTGATGGTGCGTTGGATTTCATCCATCCCCCCGCTCCAGATCTTTTCTGGTTGCAAAGGCATGTGTGTTATTTGTAAGATTTTTGTAGAAAAGGTATTTTATCTTGGATATGAGTATACATAAGTGGATATATATAAGTTTTTGATTTATGAATAATTAATTATTTACTTCCTTTTTATATTTTAAACTTATATTTATTTGGGAATTGTATGTTAGTATACAGTACATACTACAGTTGAATTCAACAGTTAATTTTGTATGATGTTCAGGCATTTGCTCAGTTGTTGAAAGCTCCACGTGAGGAAACTGATTCGATAATCAAGGAGCGCTTTCCTGTTCCTCGTTTGGTCGTGTGTGATCAATATGGTTCTCAGGTTATTTTTTTCCCTTAAGCTATCAATACACTCTGCATCTGACATTTTTAGGAGAATACAATGTTGGCAATTTTCATGCTAACAGGATAAGATTTCAAGTCATCATAGTTTTTACTCCTGAACTGGATAGCCCAAATTTGAGGTAAAAAAATTGCAATTAAGTCTCCCAGCAAAAAGTGCTTTCCCAGAACCCTTCTCCTAAAGACCTAAGTAAATGTCATGGTTTGGACATCACATTACCTTTGGATGCACACTTTTTGATAGTAAATATTGAGTTGTAGGAAAATAAAAATGATATGGAAGTACCTTTAATTGAAAATCTTTTAATATCATTTCCATGTCAAAGCTAATTTTGTGTACTAGAATTGTCTATATTCTAAACGCATCTGTTTAGGAACGAAGGGAGGGACATTTTCAGAGGATAATCAGCACTTCCCACTAGCAACAAAAACAATTAAACAATACTCAATCATAGAATTGCTATCTTTTTTTACATTGCAGGCTCGGTTTTTACTAGCAAAGCTTAATCCGTCTGTCACATATAACTCTGACAATCCTCCACCACCTGGAGGAGATGTCATATTCACGGATGATGTGAGCTTCGAAGTCTTCATGGATCACCTGCAGCGGCTGGCAGTTCAGTAGAACACGGTCATGAAGCAATTTTGTATGAATCTTCAATAGTCTCGTCCAGTGTACAGCAAAGAACGACTTCTCCGTGTAATTTATGCAGGTTACCACATTGTAGTCTCGGATATGCCATTGTTGGCTCTACATCTGTATATTTCCATGGTTATAGGCTGCAAGGATTCTGCCTCCACTATAAATTCAAGAAGGAACATTCATGATTGTGTAAAATACGTTTCATATCTTTCTCCTACCCACACTGACAGTAACTTTTTTTTTCTGACACTACTGAACAGTAGCATGTATACACGTATCCTTCAAAACCGATCAGGCCTCAACCTATGCAGATTATCACAAGTAACTAGCCAACTAGGCAGTTTAAGCATCCATTCTTGAAGCTGTGATCACTTGTTCTCCTTCATTGATGAATGCGACGACAGCATCCATCTCCTTGGCCGCCTTCTCGCCGTCCGGCTCCACGAGGAAGTAGACATGGTTCTCGCCGGGCGTCTCGTACAGCACCGCCTCGCCGCCCCAGCCGCTCGCCCTGGCCGCCGCGACGTAGGCGCGGCCCCTCGCGCTCAGCGTGTCCAGCGACGCCACCGTCACCAGCACGCGCGCGCGCCCGAGCCGCCGCCACTCCCCGCGCGCCATGGCCACCGGGTCGATCACCGGGTCGTCCACCTCGTACCGCCCCGCGCACACGAACCCCCACGTCCGCTCCCGCCACCGCCGCGTCGCCGGGTCCGCCGTCTCCGACGGCACCGGCCGCTTCCCCCAGAAGTAGGGGTCGAGGAGAGCCACGCCGCGGATGGCCGCGCCGCCGTGCAGCCCCCCCTCCCCGCCGGCGCGCATCGCCACGTTGTGCGCGATGTTGCCGCCGGCGCTGTCCCCGACGAGGAACAGCCTCGCCGTGTCGCCGTGGCGCGACAGCCATGGCTCCGGCCCGGCACCGGCGTTCTCGAGCACCCACCGGAGCGCCGCCCACGCGTCGTCGTAGGCCCTCGGGAGCCGGTGCTCCGGCGCGAGGTGGTACTCCACGGACACGGCGACCACCCGGGCCTTCGACACCAGCGCGTTGAGGTAGCGATGGTACGTCGGCGAGAACGCCGACTCCGTCACGAACCCGCCGCCGTGGTAGAACACCACCACCGGCAGCTTGTCGCCGCCGCCGCGCTTCCCCGCCGTGAGGTTGGCGACGTTCGGCAAGTAGAGGCGGACGGCGAGGCCGGCGTCGGCGTCGATGACCACGTCCTTGGAGGCCACGCCGGTGGCCGGGTCCATCGACGCCGGCACGGTGTCCGTGCCAATGAACCGCACGACGCGGCCGCTCTTGTAGAGGACCAGGAAGGGGAAGAAGAAGAAGTCGACGTCCTCGCCGTCGCCGGCGCCGGTTAAGGCTGCCGGAGCCGGAGGAGGAGCGCGCGGCGAGAGCAATGCTCCCGCCATGTTGAGCAGGAGCAGCAGCGCAGACGAGATGCTCGCCGCCATGAGCAAAGCTTTTGGTAGTGGTAGCAATTAACCTTTTTCTCGTTCCCGCCTTTTATGAAGAACTCCATTTTAATAGAATCCCACTCTCATGATGCCTGGTGCTTGATCATGACGAGTTGGTTAATTAAAGGTCCGTACAATATTTCCCTTTTGAAAATTGAATTTAGGCCAAACTAATACTACTATTGAGGAGTAATATGACACAATTATTTATGCACACTTCGTTAAAAAAAATCGTTCAAAAAAATTATTTATGCACACATTTCTTTCGGATTTACTCCCTTTATTTCATATTACAAGTCGTTTGACCTTTTTAAGTTATATTGATTTTAAATTTAACTAAGATTATAGAAAAATAAACAAACATATTATCATAGTATATTTAATGTTAAATTTAATAAAATTAATATGGTATTGTTTATATGCTAATTTTTTCTATATACTTGATTAAATCTAAAGAAATTTAGTTAAGAAAAAATTCAAACAATTTATAATATAAAACAAAGATTGAGTATATTATTATGATTAATCAAGTAGCAGCAATTGCAAGAGGTGAGGAAGAGCGTGGATCAGTGGCGTAGCTAGGATTTTAGGTTATGGTGGTCCAATTTAATTAACATAATTTTTCTAAACACTATTAATGTTAGTATACTATTAACATTAAACTGCTTCAACAAATCTACAATAGGATTATGCATTGTTTTAACGGATTTATCAATCCAATTCTAATCGGAATTCCCAAAATCGAACCGAAACTAACACAGTGACATACCTGCTTGTTGAACGCTGCTCTTGATCCTGGTCGCCAGACGCCGGTTGCCGCCGTTGGACACGACCAGACGCCGGTTGCCGCCGTTGGACATGGGCCCCCAATCCCAAGCGTTGAGTCGTCGAGTTATAAAAGCAGCACTTGCACGATCGATGGCGTAGTCAGGATGGGAACTGGAAGGACGGAAACCGGAACAACAACTCGATAAAGGAAATCAACTTATGAAACAAAAGCATCGTACTTTTCTATGTTGGATCAGAACAGGGGTAATAAGCATTTGGGCCAGATTTTACTGTTGGTCCATGGCCCACACGGATCACCATGTGGCTCCGCCACTGGCGTGGATTTCTCGGCCTCACACGTGCCGATCGATGCGTAAGAGCGACTCGCAGTTTGTAGTTTCCGGTGAATTCGATAACACAACATACACGTCGAAGTCGCCAGATTCCGCCTTACTGGATCGAAAGATCTCATGACACGGGGCGTTTTGGACTGAAGCTGCTACGCTGGCCTGGAGCAGTAGAGTACTGGACGGCAGGCCAAAACGCAACCCGACGAAAGCAGGTAAGCCACATGAGGTATTCCTTCCTTCCTTCCTTTGTCGTAGTCCTCCTGTATCATCCGAAAATTCCCATAAATTAGCGGTCGCCAATTTCAGGGTCCTAGCTTTTTTTTTATACTGGTAAGTGGTAATGAACAAGGACATTTGAGCAGACATCACAGCACAGCACGAGTACTAGCATTGGAGTAGCAAGTTCAACTGCACTTACGTACTGCTGCTATATATATATATGACCCGCGGTCCAGAATATCATCATCCTACGACTAATGAAAAGACAGAGATAGCTAAGTGCTTGTTACTCAAAACTTTTTCTTCAAACCTCCAACTTTTTCATCACATCAAAACTTTTCTACACACATAAACTTTTAAATTTTTTCTTCAAACTTCTAATTTTAGTTAAACTTTCAATTTTTACGTTAAACTAAACACAGCCTAACCCCCCAGACCGTTGTGTTGGCACCACACCGATTGACATGCTCACTTTTGCTCCCACGGTCACTGTCTCACCGAGTCACCGGTGACATTCCTCGGTGGATCTCTAATTGGTGGAGGCACTTAAGGCAGGCCAGGCAGAACAGGCGTAGTTTCAGCCTGCAGCTTGTACGACCCATGAGGCCCAATAAACTGTGTTTCGTCGGCCGAATGGTTGCCATGCCGAGCTCGTCGAACTCGGAAGGAATAAGTTCATCTATCATCCCTCAACTTTACACCGAGTTTGTTTGACATCCCTTATCCTCGTTACCAGAAATCTTCACCCCTAAACGATACAAAACAATACAATTTATGTCCCATAGCAGTATAGATGTCTGTTTTCGCTGACGTGGCATCCTAGTCAGCAAAATAAAAATAAAATGTGGATCCCACGTGTAAGTGAAGTGAGGAGAAAAATATAAGGCCCACGTCTCTTTTTTCTTTTTCTCTTTTCTTTCTTCTCAACTCTTCTCTTACCTTCTCTTCATGGGAGGTTGTCGGCGGCAGATGGGGCCGATGCGGCCGGCGAGCCTGGCCGAGTTCCACCGCCGGTGCACCGATGCACACGTGCCACACGCGCCATTGGTGGCGAGGGGAGAGGCGGCCGGCCACGCTGGCGGGAGAGAGAGGAGAGGAGGACCGAGAGAGGGGCGGAGCGACCGGCGGTGGAGAGCTGACGCCGGCGCGAGCTCACGTCGGGAGGAGTCCGAGACGAAGACGGCGGCTGGATCCAGGGTGGCGAGTGGGGGCGGAGTCGAGGACAAAGCCGGAGTAGGCTGAGGGTCGGCTGTGGGGCGCTGCCGGCCTCGACGGGGTTCTCGGGGTGGCTGCCTCGCTCCCCCTGCCTCGCCCCCTCCAGCCACCGCAGCCACCACCATCTCCTTCGGGTTCATCCCCTCCACCTCTCGCCGCCGGCCGACATCCTCTCCCCCCTCTCCGATCGTGTCCGCTCTCTGCCGCCATGGTGCAGCAGTTATTGCAGGCGATGGCAATGACGGCGGTGACGACGCCGGCACCGACATTGGGGGGCAAAGGAGAAGAGGCGGTGGAGCTTCCAGAGGCCGACGGTGAAAGATGCTGGTGGTCATGGCTTCTTGGAGCCGCGGGTGGACTCCGTTCAACACACCATCGCAGTGGCCATAGCCACGGATGCGGCGGCGGAGGCAGCGGTTGCGGCCAACTGGCCAAGCAAGTGGCGAGCGAGCGTGCGGCCGGCGAAGCGGAGCGGCCGGCAGAGTAGACCACCGGTGGTGGCGGCGGAGGTGGGCGAGCGCGCGGCTGGCGGAGCCGAGTGGGCAGCAGCCGGGCCATCTGCCGCCAACTGCGTGTCGGCGTCGAGAAGATTGGAAATGAGAAGAGAAGAGAAAAAAAGGAAAGGGAAAAAAAAGAGAAGAAACAAGATATGTGGGCCTTATATTTTTCTCATCTCTTATATGTGGACCCTATATTTTTTATATATTTTGTTTTGCTGACTAGGATGCCACGTCAGCGAAACCACCTATATATACTGCTATAGAACCTTGATTGCACAGTTTGTGTGAGTTTAGGGGCTATACATTTCTGGTTTTATGGTTAAAAGACCTTGAAAAATCTCGTTGTTAAGTTGAGGGATCTCTGGTGAACTTATTCCAACTTGGAAATTCGTTCCGACCAGTGGATGCGTATGTGTAGTCCGTTTGGTAAAGCTCCGATCTCTAAAGTTAACTTTAGGAGTTAAATTAAAGTGGAGTTGTGAAACAGTCTAAACCAAATTCTCACTATCTAGCTCATTTGTGAGAGCATTCTAGCCAACCCCACTCCCATTTTAAGTGGACCTGACAGCCTCAGATATTTTAGCTGGGTTGTAGACTTACAGCTCTAAAAGAGATAGAGTTGTACCTGAAGCCATGCCAAATAATTCTTTAGTGGTGGGATCTGATGATTCCAGATGGTCACAACCACCTAGACTAGCTCGTGACTTGGCGAGGTAGGATTCAACAATGGGCTCTAAATTCGTTGACTAAAGTTTCAAAAAGGAAAAAAATCATTGACTCGTCGCCAATCATCATACTGTTGTTGTTGCGCTGGTTTCTCTCGCCAACTCATTTCATCCGCCTCACCAGTTCTTAGTCACTCTGATCGGGAACCCAGCTCATATAACCACTGCATTACCTGTCTCTTGCGACAGAGATGGCCCAATCAACTCACTAACCACTATTTCCCTGTCAATTTTACCTGTTAGCAATGCCCTTCTCAAGCCATCACACCCCTGTTGCGCATCAAAAGCAAATCTTACAAGTCACCAAGAATGGGAAAAACGCTTCTACTAGTGTAACAGCATTAACAGAATGTTGAAAGCAACATAAATTCGGACGAAAGTGGGCTGAAAACGATCGGAAACGGTAAATCTCTTCAGCGCTCGATCGACTGATAATTGATCGTATTTATCAATTAAACTATTCAGTATTAACATCAATACGATACAACAATAAATTAAAAAAACAAATTTTAAGAAGTTTTATATATAAAAAAGACGATAACGATTGAAAACGGTACTCCATATATAACCCTCGAAAACAACGCTGCTTACTGGATTGGGAATTTTCGTGACCATTTTCAACCCACTTATACCGTGAAAAACAATGAGCACAGTTCCCGTTTCCGTTTCCGAATTTCGATCCGGCACTGCTATGTCGCTGCGCTGGATCGCTTGATGAAGGAGACGACGGCATCAAGCTCCGCCTCCGCCTTGTCTCCCCCGGCGGCGGCGGCGGCCTCCTCGAGGAAGTAGACGTGGCCCTCGCCGCCGGTCTCGTACAGCGCCGCCTCCTCCCCTTCCCACGCGCTCCCCCTCAGCACCTCCACGTACATCCGAGCTCGGTCACGCATCGTGTCGAGCTCCCCCACGGTGACCAGTGCCCGCCGGCAGCCAAGCGCCGCCCATTCCTCCGCCGGAGTGGACAGCGGGTTGATGAACGGGTGGTCGATCCCGTACCTCCCGGCGCACATGAAGCCCCATGATCTCTCCGCCCGCCGCGGGAGCTCGGGGTCCACGCGTTCCGACGGCATGAGCTCCCCGCCGCGGAAGAATGGGTGGAGAAGCACCATGCCTTCGATCCGCGCGCCGCCGGGGAGGCCGTCCTTGCCGGCCCTCATCGTCACGTTGTGCGCGATGTTCGCGCCGGCGCTGTCTCCCGCGACGAAGATGCGCGCGGCGTCGCCGTGCTCCGCCAGCCACGGCTCCGGGCCGCCGGACGCCGAGCAGCTCGCCACCGTCCAGCGGAGCGCCGCCCACGCGTCGTCGTAGGCGGCGGGGAGCGGGTGCTCCGGCGCGAGGCGGTAGTCGACGGACACGGCGACGACGCCCGCCGCGGCCACGAGGGCGTTGAGGAACCTGGAGTGCACGCGGGAGAAGGCCGAGTGGACGACGAAGCCGCCGCCGTGGAAGTACACGACGACGGGGAGCTTCTCGCACCTCGGGACGCCGCCGGGCAGGTACAGCCGCGCGGCGAGGCCGCCGGACTGGGCGTCGATGACCACGTCCTTGGAGGTGACGCCGGTGACGGCGTCCGTGCCGGCGTCGACCCTCGCGGTGCCCATCAGACGGTGGACGCGGCCGCTCTTGTAGCGGATGAGCAATGGCGAGAAGTCGAAGTCGACCTCGGTGTCCGGATTCATGGCCGGAATGAGCAACGTGATGACAAGGTCTTGAACTGAATTGATTGTTTTTTGCTTGTTATGCTTTGTAAATCGAGGTGGAGATATCAGCCAAACAGACAAACAGTCATCACATCCGACAGTGAAAGAAAGAACAGAGGTAGAGCTTACGGCAATATTTTTGCGATATCTTTAGCACCACACATACTCCATAATTTGATCACATATGCAGTAGTTGTTGCATTGAAGTTCCTTTGATTCCTGAAAACTCTCTTGTTCCGTTCACATCATATCTTTCACACCACTAGCATATGAAGTAATTTCATCATTTTGGTCTTGCGTTTGGGTGTGTTCAGTTCACGTTAAAATTGAAAGTTTGGTTGAAATTGAAACGATGCGATAAAAAAGTTGAAAGTTTATGTGTGTAGGAAAGTTTTGATGTGATGAAAAAGTTAAAAGTTTGAAGAAATAGTTTGGAACTAAACTCGGCCTTTGTCTCCCTGAGACATCCTCTTACTGTACCACTCAAGAATGAAGCGGGTTGTGTGCAAATTTTGCTAGGTTGCGGTTAATTCCTTTTAGCATCCTCCCCCAAAGATGTCACACGAAATTACTGTTTGCTAACCATCCTCCTAGCGGCTTATACAATGTTTGCTAATCATCCTCCTAGTGGCTTATCCCATCCCTAATTATAGACCTATTACAACATACGGGCACGCATGTTGTTAGTCTAAAAAGATGTTGTACTATCAAATGTTAGTGTTAAGTGATGTCCAAGTAAACAACTGTCCAACAAACAACTTCAAGCATAAAGTTACCTGTGAAGTGCTTTCAATTAGTTACTCCTACAATCCTACTTGTGCAGTGGCATTTTACAACTTACAACGTGTTTCACGATTCTGCTCCATCAGGCGACGGTTGAGATCGTGAGACCGAAAGGATGAATCCCTAGCTATGGCAGTTATGAGTTACTATCAGCACTCTCGAGACCTCTATGGTGGTGTGGCATTTGAGATCGAGTGCGACATCCACAACGGCACACAGCCGGCACGCTCGTCGAGTGCGGCAAAACGGATTAAACAACCACTGTAGAGTAGCTCTCAAATGCGTGCCACCGGTTTAGAAGCTCCTACTACGACAGTTGATAGCCTACACTCTACTACAGCATTTCCACCACTTTGCTCGTCTTGCACGACAAGCGCCATCAAACTGTTTTTAAGACTTAAATAAACTTTTGATCTTATTCTTTATTAGTCCCTCCAATTAAGAATGTAAGGCATACTCATCCATTCCCCTATATAACAAAATCAACGAGAAATTAACTCATCCCCTATATAATAAAATCAATGAACTAATGCAGGCATACAACTGTGCATTTCTATCAACAATTAATTTAACACATGAAGACTACAAATATGACCATATGTTTTTAAAAGATAAATAGTAAAATATACTTAACACTTTTAGATAGAGAGCACGATATAAAAATAGTGCTAATTAACGTTGCAGACTTGTGAAAAAGAGAAGTAAGAAAGACCTGAAACTTGATCCGATGATCAGATGGATCATGGATCATGGATCATCCATTGATAATACCACCACTAGGACAGTGCGCGCAACTTTAGACGGACCAGGCTCAAAGTCCACGCAGCACTACCACCGGTGCCGGCCTACCTTGCAGCCGGCCGCTGCTACACCACAAACGCGTAGCAACCATTGCATCCATGACACGTTCGCCGCCGCCACCGATCTAGCCATCATCTAGCCCGCCGCCGCCGCTACCGTGAGTGCGTGCGTGCGTGCGTGACACACCTCACAAGACGGTCGTCGTTGCTCCGCGCGCTGCGGAGTAGTAATAGCCGGCCCTCTCGCGGCTGGTACCAGTGTACCACACTGTCCACTGCCTTTACTACGCCAACTCACTAGCTCGCGGCAAAAGGGTCCCTTTGTGGTAGTAGTACGTTTTAATTTACATGCGTTTTCCCCTTCCAAGTTTCACGGAGGTACGTAACGAAGTGTACATATGCAATTCTCAGTCGAAACACTGAAATCACACTCACACGTACGGATGTCGATCTGCCTCGATGAAGAAAGACAGAAAAAAATGGTAGTAACACTATAAGCTATATGTGGTTACTAGGAGTACTCATTACAGTATGGCTTTACTCGGGTGTGTAGCTGAGCTGCCACGTTGAAGATGGATCAGAATTCAGAGCTGCTGCTAGTGATGTGCTTGCTAGGTGTCGCGGTTAATGAACGCGGCGAGCGTGGCCATATGCATGGCTTCCTTGGGCGACTCGAGGTTGTTGAGGAAGTAGCAGTGGCCCTCGCCGGGCGTCACGTACAGCCGCGCCTCCCCGGGCCACCCGCTGCCACGGAGCGCGTCCACGTACGCGCGCTGCCACGGGCCGAGCCGGTCGAGGTCGGACACCGTCATCAGCACGCGGGAGGTGGCGAGGCGCCTCCACGACGCCGCCGGCAGCGCCATCGGGTTCACGTACGGGTGCTCCATCCCGTACCTCCCCGCGCAGATGAAACCCCACGCCCGCTGCGCCGTCGGGTCGACGTATTTCCCCAGGAAGTACGGGTCCAGCAGCGCCACGCCGCGGATCGTCGCGCCGCCGCCGTGCTGCCCCGCGCGCATCGCGAGGTTGTGCGCGATGTTGCCGCCGGCGCTGTCCCCGGCCACGAACAGGCGCGACGCGTCCCCGCGCCTCGCGAGCCACGAGTCCGCGCCGCGCTGCATGTCGGCGGCCACCCACCTGAGCACCGTCCACGCGTCGTCGTACGCCGCGGGGAGCGGGTGCTCGGGGGCCAGGCGGTAGTTCACCGACACCGCGATGGCGCCGGCCTTGGCCGCGAGCGCGTTGAGGTAGTTGTGGTACACCGGGTCGAACGCCGACTCGACGACGAACGCGCCGCCGTGGAAGTAGATGAGCACCGGGAGCCTCCCGCCCCGGTGCTTCGGCCGGTACAGCCGCACCGCGAGCCCCGTGCTCCGGTCGACGACCACGTCCTTGGACACCACCCCGGTGCGCACGTCCAGCGACGGCGCCACCACCGTCGTCCCCATCAGCCTCTGCACCCTGCCACTCCTGTACTGGATCAGAAACGGCGTGAAGTCGAACTTCACCTCCATGTTCGGGTCGGTCGCCGCCCTGCTCCGCAATGCCGACGCCACCGACGCACACATCGCCGCCGCCACTACCAGCAACGCGAACAGCGACCGCGACGCCATGGGCAGGCGGCAACGTACGTACAGAGCGAGTGAGAGACACCGAGAATGAGTGTTTCCGTGGTGAGCCAAGCGCTCGATGGGTGAAGCGTTTATATGGACATGGCACGGGATGATGTACGTGGCGCACGTAGTGTGGTGCGGCATCTTTTAACCGCTTCCACGGGAAGCGAACCAGGGGCGATGTGTCCGGCTCGCACTCGCGAAACGGCTCGGGTTGGGTCAATGCGAGTGCATGCGCCACGCGCCGGTGGCCGTTTTCATCGCTAGTGGGGGCGCCACTCCACTGGATCGGTCGATGGATGGATCGCCATTAGTGGCGGCCCCTGTAGTGCTTAAGTGCGTGGGAGCCATCTACTTGTCGCAATCCCGAGCAGTAATTAAGCAAAGGGCCGTGTGTGCTTTGCTGCCTACGTACAACGACGTCCATGGAGATTACAGCCTTGTCGATACAGATACAGGCATACATATGCATACAGCGCCATTGATCACGGGAGAGATGGCGGCATTTGTGCCGATGTTGGTAGGATTATTGGGAGCCTTTTTGTGTGCTTGTGTAGTAGTAGGCGTCGTACTGGCGTTGCGCATGCAGTTCTAGATCCAGCATGGTAGCACTGGTCATTTAAGAGACCCGGGCCACTTCCTACCTGTAGTTTTTTTGTACCCGTTCGTCGTGCGACGGGGGCTTTGTTGCGTTGCATGATGAGATGCCGCCGGCGACACCCTTGTTGTGCAATCAATGGCGAGACGTCCTGCGTAATTACTGCATGCTGCTGCTACTGCTGCTACCATCACCTGCACAGTGCCCGTTTCGTCACACTGCCATTTACTGCTAACCGAAAGCAGCCGAGGAATGGCGCTTGTCCGTTACCGGGTTAAGCAGTACAGTGAACCGGCTGGCAGTCGTACTGTGGTAGTACTACGTGTGAGCTAGCTAAGCTCTCTCTTTTTACGTTTTTTTTTTTTTTGCTAGCATCTTGCCGTTGGAAACGGTAAATGATGTCCCACTAGGAGCAGATCGAAGAAGGCAAATGTGCAGTGCAGTGAAGAACTGGTGCGCACCTGACATACATGTCGTTGTAGCAGGCGGTTTGATGAGGGAGAGCTCAACGGAAACCAAACGTCCAAACCGTATGGAGAGCCCGATTCGGATCGGTGTAGATATGATGCGATGAACCGAACTTTCCGTTCGCGTGTTCAGGGGATGGGAATGAATCTTCTTGGTTGGGATCGTCGATTTCCTCATCGGGAAACTGAAAGCCTCGACTAGTCCAACATGGCAACATGTCTGTTATCCGTGTTACCGTACCTTACTACCTTTCGTGGGTGTTGATTCGGTACACCACCATTTTTTTCTCTCCGAATTGTGTCCTTTGCCAATGAAGGCTTGACAAGAGAATGAACGGTTCTATGAATTGGGACAATCTATGAACCGTGTGATCCACTAGTACAATTTCAATTTGGGGTTGAAATACAAGCCGCAATAAAACGACGAATTTGGCAAAAAAAATCAAATGAAAATTGATAAATTAAGAACATGCAATGTTCAAAAGGCAATATTGGATGTGTGCTTACAGTGGATTGCGAATCAAGAATGAAATCTGGTTAATATGTTGCTCCATGTTCGATCGATACTGAATGAACTTTAAAAGGTTTGATCGAAAATCAGTTGTTTTTTCTTGGAAATTGGAGAGATGCAAAATAAATTTTAGAATATTGGAAAAATGTTATAAAATTGATATAAACTATAGAAATTATAGGTCCTGAATTGATATTTTTATTTCATTTTTTCTTTATGATAATGAGATATCTCAGCCTTTATTTCAATAGAAGTTGCATCCATTTATTAGTTTTTTCTTCATTTTCTCATTGTCGACGGGCTATACCCGACTACGGTATTTATAGACCATAATATACGTGAGATTGTATCAAGAAGGCAAGAGACAAGCTAGCAGCAAGATCCAATTTTTTTTCTTAAGTAGAACTTGGAGAGTTTAGGCTGGATGCGGGCCGAAGAAACCTTGTCTCTCTCAGATAGGACTTTGACACCTTCTATCCCAAATAGACAATATTTTTACAGACTTATATTATATCCGTATGTAAGGACACCTTCTCGTAGTCGTATATAATTAGGTATGTGGTATTGCTATATAACACAAACCCTAACACTCATATTTCCCATTTCAAATTTAAAATGATCCTTCTATATAAAAACAAAATTTAAAATGATCCTTATTTTCTTAAAAAAAATATCAAATTGGTCCGAGTCCCATTCGTAATCTCCAGTGAGATTTCATTTCAACCTTGTTTCGAAACGCTCGAATTCAGGTTGTGAACCCTATTCAGTGATAACGATCCAGTTGCTGGGGTGCAGTAGCATCGAGACTTGACGTGGGAGTATGCACGTGACACAAAGCTGTACCACGGCACCTCCGTATACTTCTGTAGCGCCATACCAGTTGAACTAGTGATACAGTAGTACCGTAGACTACTGTAGTACCAGACTCGGGCCACGGTACACGTTTTTTTTTTCCCTTCTTCCCTTATGCCATTCTCAACCCAATGGTTAGGATGGTGTCTATAGCATTAAATAAGCTGCCACCTATAATAAAAAATAATGTGGCAAGTAAATAAATGAGGAAAGAGAAGGAAACCATATCTTGCATGAGACATAGTTTCTATACAACATCCAAGACATCATGCGAGATAAGTAACATTAAATTGAAGTATAGAATAGTAGTATTTGCATTGAAAAAGTAATGTCTTAGTATATGATATGGAGTTTATGTAAACTATATATATGGTCGTGGGTTGGGAATACCCTTGTAAATCATCGAGGCAAGGCACCGTACCGGACAATGGGGCCACTGACAATGTTGTTAGGAGTGGACGCGTGCGTGCGGTGGTTGTGGGCCGTAGCGGTCGCCGTCGACAGAAGGAAATCAATTCTAAGGCCCATACAGCAATGAGCAATCCATTGTCCACAAGCTTTAGCCCGAAAGGCCGAACCATTTAAGCAGCTCGGCTGTTCCAAAGCCCATTACAGGTTCCAGACCCGAATTTTAGTAACAAGGAATAAGTCTACGGCTCTCATCGGATGGCCTAATCAGCCAAAGAAAAAACCAAAATTTAAATTTTCAAACTTAATTTTGAGATTGATTTTGAGATATTTTCAACGTAATTTCTTTTACAACATTAGCTTTTAAGTCACCAAGAACACATTTATAAAAGTTTCATCTACAAATTTATTTTTATTTCCTAAGAAGCAATAGGAAATAAGCCAAACAATGAGGACCTAGTAGCCAACTGGCAAGGAATAAGACGACAACCGTTGCCGCGCCTTCACCCGTCCACCGCCGGCCTCCGGTGGTCGTCCCCCTCCGCAAGCCTTCGCCATGGCCACCACTCGGCCTTTATCATAATCGTTGCTTAGCTTCCTCGTACCGACAGTAAGGGCCTATGAAGAGGTTTTCACTGACACATGGGCACTGAATTTATCATTTTTTTATTTTTTGCAAATATAATACCACTTCAACTTACCACGTCAACAAAACTACTTCCCAAACCATCGAAATAGTCGATTTGCACAGAATTTTAATAATAGAAAATGTGTTATACCAGGTTTAACGGTTGCGATTCAACCGAGAACAAAACATGAGAGAGGTCAAATAGACTTATTCCAATTGGCAAGCGGTGATTCGGCCCAGTAACAAGGGCCATCTTCTCTTGCACGGTAGGAGTTTGCTCCGTATTCTATTTCTGCAAGCGCAGACTAGGGCTCTGTTTGGAATATTAGCTCAGGGCTAATTTTGAGAGCTAATGTTTAGTCATGAATTGGTAGGCTAAACATTAGCCTAGGGTGGTATGTTTGGATCCATGGGCTAATTCAAGACTAAAGGGTGAAGAGAGTAGAAAGAGAGGAGAGAGAAGGAGAGAGAGAGCTGCTTTTTATGGTTCTCACATAAAATTAGCCCCATTAACATCTCTTGGAGGGGCTAATGTTTTGAGGGGAGCTAATTCACATTAGCTCAAAATTAGCCCATATTTTAGATTCTTAAGAGTTAATTTGAGACTAAGAGGTGAGAGCTAAATATTAGCCCATGAAACCAAACAAAGTGTTTAGGTGGAGAGCACGAGGCCACCCACTCCAAACAAAAAAACGTTATCCTGCCGTCCCACGCAGGCCAAGTCAAACCGTTGAATCGCCAGCCTTGGAAAAGTTGAAATACTCCGCCACGTCCCACGTACGCGTGGTGACCGACGCGACGCTGCGTTGCTCGCCGAGACGCCGACCACCCGCCGAAGTTGCACCACCACCACCGTCGCCGGCACGCGCAGATGGGAGAGCCCGACGACGAGATCACGTTCGAGTTCCTGCCGCTGATCCGGTGCTACAGGAGCGGCCGCGTCGACCGCCTCCTCCCGGACACCCGCGTCCCGCCCTCCGTCGACGCCGCCACCGGCGTCGCCTCCCGCGACGTCACCATCGACCCGGCCACCGGCCTGTGGGCGCGCCTCTACCTCCCCGACCTCGACGGCGGCGAGAGGAAGCTGCTGCCCGTCGTCGTGTACCTCCACGGCGGTGGCCTCGTCGTCGGCTCCGCCGCGGACGCGCTCGAGCACGGGTTCGCCAACCGTCTCTGCGCGCGGGCGCGCGCCCTCGTGGTGTCCGTCGACTACCGCCTCGCGCCCGAGCACCCCGTCCCCGCCTGCTACGACGACGCGTGGTCCGCGCTGCAGTGGGCCGTCGCCGCCGCGAGCGCCGACCCGTGGCTCCGCGACCACGGCGACAGGGAGCGCGTCTTCGTGCTCGGGTACAGCTCCGGCGGCAACATCGCCCACAACGTCACCCTCCGCGCCGGGGCCGAGGAGCTCCCCGGCGGCGCGAGCGTCAAGGGGATGGCGCTGCTGCACCCGTACTTCATGGCGGCCAAGAAGGCCGACGGCGAGGTGAAGAACGCGTGGCTGAGGGGCAAGCTGGAGGAGATGTGGGCGTTGGCGTGCGGCGGCGGCCGGACCACGGCGGGGCTGGACGACCCGCGGATCAACCCGGTGGCCGACGGCGCGCCGAGCCTGCGCCGGCTCGGCTGCGACCGCGTCCTGGTCTGCCTCGCCGACGACGAGCTGGAGGTCCGGGGCAAGGCGTACTACGACGGGTTGCTGGAGAGCGGGTGGGCAGAGGACGCCGCCGAGCTGCTTGTCTCCGGCGAGGATCACGAGTACGTCCACCGCGATCCCGACAGCGCCAAGGCCGTGGTTGTGATGGACCGGCTAGCCGCGCTCTTTGGCGGGAAAAATTAGAACAGCAATTAATCACATTCTAGTGACCTGCAATGTTGTTGATGAATGCTGGAGTTTTGTTGCATTCTGAGCTGTTTGAGCTCACAAAAAATAAGAAGAAATGAAGAGAGAAAAACATGTTGTGCTGTGCACGTTCCACCTTCAGTAATCAGCGGTATTATGGAGTTGAATAAAATGGAACAAGTTGTTTCTTGTTTGACTTATTATGAGCTTTATTTGCTCATGGAGCAGAGCCAAGGGAATCTTGCACATGAGCTCCCTCTATTCTATTTGCTGCATTCTCAAGAAACAGCGACTCCTCACTGCTAACCATGTTAGTATATTCTTTGGATCAAGCTTCGGAATGAAGGAAACGTTGAGAAAAGAAAAGATTTAAGAATGGAAAAAAAGTCACCCTTGTACGAATGAATCTCATCTGACCAAATTTACCCCCCAAACCGATAAAATTTCTGGGCGAATTGGTCAGAATTTCACAGCTCTTCCAAGTTGTAATCATTTTAAAATGGTTTTTAGTAGCAGTAATCCCATTAATTGGAAGATTTGAACAGCGACTTGGCAACTACTGGTAGATTTGGTATATACACTTGACGAAACCCAAAGTCTAACACGCGCCCCTCCTCTTGCGTTCTCGCCTCGGTCTCCAACTCTGCAACCACCGCCGTCTCTTCTCCAGATCTCCACCGCGCCATGGACGCCGCACCCACCGCGCCGCCGGCGGCGTCGGCCGACGACGAGATCGTGTACGAGTCGATGCCCTGCATCCGCATCTACAAGAACCGCGTGGAGCGCTACTTCGGCTCCGAGTTCGTCGCCGCGTCCACCGACGCCGCCACCGGCGTCGCCTCCCACGACCGCGTCATCTCCTCCAACGTCTCCGCGCGCCTCTACCTCCCCCGCCTCGACGACTCCGCCGCCGCCAAGGCCAAGCTCCCCGTGCTCGTCTACTACCACGGCGGCGGGTTCTGCCTCGGCTCGGCCTTCAACCCCACGTTCCACGCCTACTTCAACACCTTCGCCGCGCTCGCCAACGCCCTCGTCGTCTCCGTCGAGTACCGCCTCGCGCCGGAGCACCCCGTCCCGGCGGCCTACGCGGACTCGTGGGAGGCGCTCGCGTGGGTCGCCGGACACGCCGCGGGGGATGGCGACGAGGCGTGGCTCGTCGACCACGCCGACTTCTCCCGCCTCTACCTCGGCGGCGAGAGCGCCGGCTCCAACATCGCGCACCACATAGCGATGCGGGTGGCCGAGGAGGGGCTCCCCCACGGCGCCAAGATCCGGGGCCTCGTCATGATCCACCCCTACTTCCTCGGCACTAACAGGGTGGCCTCCGACGACCTGGACCCCGCCGTGCGCGAGAGCCTCGGGAGCCTGTGGCGCGTCATGTGCCCGGCCACCACGGGCGAGGACGACCCGCTCATCAACCCGCTCGTGGACGGCGCGCCGGCGCTCGACGCGCTGGCGTGCGACCGCGTGCTCGTGTGCATCGGCGAGGGCGACGTGCTCCGCGACCGCGGCCGCGCCTACTACGACCGGCTCACGTCGAGCGGGTGGCGCGGCGAGGCGGAGATATGGCAGGCGCCGGAGAAGGGGCACACGTTCCACCTCCTCGAGCCGCACTGCGACGCGGCCATCGCGCAGGACAAGGTCATCAGTGGCTTCCTCAACCGTTGACTCGCCGTCGCCGGCGATGACACCGTCGTCGTCGGAATCGGAGATTACCAAGATTAGCATCGGTTCATACCCAGAATAACTGCAGCTACGTCGCCGACGGATGCCGCTGCCGCGCCATACTTACTACTCCACTACTACATTTTACATTTTGGATTCAGGATTGTGTTGCATCTTTTGCAATTGGGTGTATGGATGGAAGGAAATCGCCATTGATTTAGGTGAGGGTATTGTAGTATCAGGAAGTTGGGGGAGATAAATGATAATACTACAGTCATAGACTTCATACAGATGAAATTATTCTGCTTTGTTTGACACATTGATTCATTTTCTTTGGAACTCCAGTGAAAGCATTGTTCTTAACTCTTTGCATCAAAGAATTACTTGCTTATACTCTTCCAAAAGAATGATTGCGCGATTCTGTATTTCCGCTGATCATATATTTGTCAACTGATGACCTCACATGGAGTGATGCCCTCCATCAAATTCTTTCCCTACCTTCCATCAATTCCTTTTCCTATCATCATCCTTTGATGATACTAATAGGCAGTTCTTTGAAATTAAAATACTTGCTGGACGCATGAATTCTTTGATTTTTTTTAATCATTTTGGCAGATTATTGCCGTTCATCAAAGAATTGATTGTTAACTCTTACATAAAAAAGGCTCTATTCATGCATTTGTCAAGGACGGTGCACACACATTGATTCATTTTCTTTGGAACTCCAATCAAGCATTGTTCTTAACTATTTGCATCAAAGAATTACTTGCTTACTCTTCCAAAATAACAATTGCGCGATTCTGTATTTCCGCTGATCATATGTTTGTCAACTAGGATGGCCTCTGATGGAGAGACCCCCTCCATCAAATTCTTTCCCTACCTTCCATCAATTCCTTTTCCTATCTTCATCCTTTGATGATACTATTAGGCAGTTCTTTGAAATTAAAATACTTGCTGGACACATGAATTCTTTGATTTTTTGGAATCATTTTGGCAGATTAGTGCCGTTCATCAAAGAATTGATTGTTAACTCTTACAAAAAAAAGGGCTCTATTCATGCATTTGTCAACTAGGACGGCGCACATGGAGTGGTGCCCTCTCCTTCATCAATTTCTTTTCTTATTATCATCATTAGATAATAAGCATTTCTTTGAAATTATTTATACTTGTTGGAATCATGAATTATTTGCCTTTTATGAAGCATTGTCATCAATGTAAATACCTTGCATCAAAGAATTGCTTTACTCATAAAAGGTTGCTCTGCTAATGCATTTCTGAAACTAGGCTGACTCACATGGAGAGATGTCCTCTATCAGTTTATTTTCATATTATCACGCTTTGATAATAAGTAATTATTTGAAATTATTTATAGTTGCTGACCACATGAATTCATTCCCTTTTATGAAGCATTATTGTAAAATGCAGTATCATGCATCAAAGAATTGCTTGTTTAATTACCCTTACAATTTTCTTTTGCTCTTCTGTTCATACATTTGTCAACTAGGGGGCCTCATATGTAGAGATGCCCTCTGTCAAGTTCTTCTCATATCTGCACTTTGATACTAATAAGCAATTATTTGAAATTATACTTGTCCGGCACATGAATTCTTTGCCTTTTAGGAAACATTGCTGCAAACTTAGTACCTTGCATCAAAGAATTGCTTGTTTACACTGACAAATTACAATTGCTCAGTGCAGCTGCATACATTTGTCAACTAGTCCGGCTAACATGGAGAGATGCCCTCTATCAGTTTCTTTTCTTATTGTCATCCTTTGACAATCTCTTTTGGGTTCCATGTTGCCTCATGCGACTTTGCCATATTAGGCCTTTTTCGGTGGAAGAGGAGTCAATGGCTGAGAAAAATGTTTTAATTTTTCTTTTCAGTTACATTTTTAAAACTAAACCGTTTCCTTTTCAGCTCCAAAGATGCTAGTAAAAGACATGATAGCTAGTATAAAATCCTCTTCAGCTACTGCATTCCTTTTCTCTTCATGGGCTCCATTTGATATCAGACGCCATCCTGCTCTCGGATTTGGCCCACTTTACATGTCACTGTCAAACTCACTCTCTTCAGTCTTCACCAAGCGACTCTTGCAGCGCTGAGATGGCCACTCATGGTCACTGTTCAGTTCTGATGAGTTTTTTCAAGACGAAATTTTCATTTCTTTAGATGTTATTTATTGAGTGAAACTTTTCTTTTCTGCAACTTTAAGGGATATGTCCCCTGCCAAAAAAAAAATGTATTGGTACAGTCTGAATCTGCAATTTTTCATTCAAAGCAATTGCTCTGTTAACCTCTCATTCGTCAGACACACTAAGAATTCTTAGTTCAATGTAGAAAAACTAAAGTTTATTGCGATGATTTGTAAAGCCTTCCTTAGTGAGCCCAACCATGAAGATTGATCCTACACTTTTCCCCGACAAGAAACGGACACATCTAAATCTGCCACCAAACAAATTTGCAGCAAATGATCACCACTGAGTAGGTGTACTTGTTGGTTTTAGAATACAATTATTCTTTCTTTCAACAAATACGTGTATTTTAAAATTGAGGAGACAAAGGCAATTGGCCAAGGAATCAAAGTACCTTTTCTTGATGGTAGGAAACTTATGTATCTATCAGGCAGGAGCTTACACAAGGTACTGCCGTTGATAGCCAATGATCGTTTCAACAGTGTCTTTTAAAAAGATTTTTTTGGCAGATTTGTGCAATGATTAAAAGATGATATATACTAAACCATGTAAGGCTAATTTCCTTGGCCAGTCAAAAAATGATTATTTTGATGGACGGAGCAGAATGGAAGTAAAACTTGGATAAAAATTAACCATTTTTACGTGACATAGAGATTAACTCAAATTAAGGGACCACCTATGGCACAACCAAGGAGATATATTCCTTCATTCTACCGTACTACTCTTTCTATTTTCTGCGAAGATGTGAATCATGTTATTCTCGAATGCATTGCAATTTTAACGAGTATTTTCTGTCAAGTTGCAAAACAGAAAAAGCACTAGCTCAGTAATCTATAGTATCTACACAAGAATCATCGTTGCCACTGGGTCACGGAACATCTGTAAATTAAAAATAACAGTGTATCTACCGTATTATTAAATCAAGGGAATCACCACGTTCATTAGGATTATAAATTTACTAGGTTACTTAAGAAAGAGAGAAAGATCAGCCACATTAATCTGATGAGTCTAAATTGTAAGGGTGTTGATTGGCCAAACATTGTTAAAGTATTGCTATGATTGTATAAAAATGCAATTGTATTTTCAAAGACATATGATTAGTATATAAAATATAATTGTAATCCTGATTAAACTATAAACCTTGCATAATTAGTTGGGTGGAAAATTCAACTAGTTTCACTGAAATATTTGCTCAAAGTATACAATTAGGTGGCCTCTAGCGCATATTAGAATTTTGTGGAGCACAATGTGAGCATGGGGAACACTTTCTTATTGAGGCACCCATTGTGGGCATACAATGATTTAAAACTTGTTAGAGAGTGCTAATGTGGTTTCTGATTATTTGGAAATACATATATCTTAAAGAACCTTTTTATGGTACAAGTTACACACAATTTTATATGTTTTGTTTTCTTCTCTTAGGCTCCATGTGCTATCACGGTGGATTATGATAATCCCGTTTGGAGCATTTGCTTTTGGATGTATCGATGCTTGGAAAAATAATTTTATATAAGGGATAAATTGTTATTACACGTCCACGAACTACTAGCTAGGTTTGTCTTAAAAAACAACTATTACCGATGAAATTGGACATTTTACACCCACAACTATCAAACTAGCCAAAAATAGCCCCCTTAAGTGCAATATAACCTGGTTTTACAGTTTTGACATCCAAAATATAAATTTACTTACATTTAGCTATTCTTTTTACATCTCTTACTTTCTATAGGTGTCATACAAGTAAGATGATAAATTATTTAGAATATAAAATCATTAAATTAAGAAACGCACTACGGTACTCTCTACTGGTAGTAGAAAATAATTTGAACCGTTGATCTCATTTGATCAAAGGGTTTAGATATATTTATATTACTATCCTAGTTAGCAATAGTAGAAATGTTGAGGGGCATTATTGTAAAAAAAAACAAGTGTGGAGGGGTATAATCGTCATTTAACTGTGACTAAACCCTTTTTTACTTCTTTTTTGGCTTTTTTGATGGAATATGAGCGATACCAGTGTAATAGATGACCACATACCGATCTAGCCGGGAAAAAACATAAATGACAAAGTTACCCTTTATCATTGTATTATTGTATTAGTAAATCACTGATTTACCCTTAATACTAATGGTAGTACTATACTACCATACTACCAGTAGAGAGTACTGAAGCATCACTAATTATAATAAATCATCCTTAGAACCGGTTTGTACTGCCTTGGGCAGTACTTTGCCTTGTTCTGATAGTTAAGGGCTATAAAATGTTCGGTTTCGGGTGTTCTGTAGATAAACCTGATAGTTGTAATGGTCAGAGGGTGTAACAAATGTCAAACAATTACGAGTGATATTATAGTCATATAAAGCCTTTTATCTAACTATAATTAAATTAATAGAACAAGTTACAATGATTATAAATGTTCATTTTCATTTACACACAAATTAAAAAAAATCGACACGAGGTAGCACAAGTGCACAACACAACAACCCAAACTAAAAGGCCGTCTAACATAAGGTACAAGTACAACTGTTTCTCATATCTTTCTATACTCCCTCCGTACCATTACCAAAAAGGATACAATTGTAGCATTTAAAAGATAAATTAATAGGGAATTAAATGACCTAGATGTCCTTTATTAAATGAGGGAGTAGCATTGAGGTAAAAAAAATCCACGAATTGATACATGGAGTTACAATAGCCTCGCTCAATCGGGAGATTTGCAATAATGACACTACAAACATTAACCTTTGCTATAATGACATTGGACCCACATTTCATAGACACAGATGGGCCCATTTTTCATCCACTCGTAGTGCCAAAACAGCAAAGCCCCAATGTTTGCAGCCCCAATATTGCAATTTTCTCCGCTCAATATTGCTTACAATATTGCCCATTTGTCATCCGCTCAATATTGCTTACAAGAAAAGGCCAAAAATGCATTTGATATCAATTACTCTGTCCATCCCAAAATACAACAAACCAGCACCAGGGGCAAAGCCAGGTGTGGGGTAGCTTGGGCTTGAGCCCCATACCTGGCAGAAAAAATATATACAAGGAATATGCTAATTTTCTTATTAAAATTTATTCAAGAAGTTCGTAATCTAGTGATTAAGCCCTACTCTTGGCATAATCCTGGCTCCGCCTCTGCCCAGTACTACATTAGACACCGCATAATAATACGAATCTAGATATGCTGATTTGTGATACTCAACTTCATGGACGTGCTGATGAACGGAGATAGTTTCTGACCATGCCACTACCACATACCCATAGTGGTAGTACCCCATGTGAAAAACTGGGGCTCTGATTGGCACTTCGTCGTACACTGCGGCATATAAACCACAGCACCTCTCTCGATCTCCCTCTATAAATAGTGGTGAGCACTGAGGATGCACTTCACAGCAAACCCCGGGAAACTTCAGAAAAACACCAGGAGTAGAGCCTTCAGTTTCATAGCTAGCTAGCTAGCTAGTGATCCCTTTAGCTAAGATAGCTAGATACTAAGCTCTCTCTTCGTCTCACTCTCCATTAACATTCTGACATGGCTGGACACAAGGTGGTATTCTGCACTTGCATTCTGATCTTCATCGTCGTCGTCATCTCAGGCCAGGCCGAAGCCCGGAGGCTGGCGGCGGTGGCCAACGGCAATGAGGATGCCGTCGCCGTGGAAGGTGACGGGAGCTTCAGAGCAGTGCAAGAAACTGCTTCTTCTGCGTCGACTGATCATGCAGCTGCAGGTCGAGGCGGCGGCGGCGCCGCCACCGCCGTACAAGGAAGCATGCCAATGACGACGACGGACTCCCGCCCTACTGCTCCCGGGAACAGCCCCGGCATAGGCAACAAGGGGAAGATCAACAACTAGCAGCTCTCGATCGTATGCGTTCCTGTTTAATTAAGGCTTTTAATTAAGCATTTAAGCTCTATAGCTGGTGATCGATCGATTGTGTGTTGCCGATCAGCTAGCTCCTTAACATCTACGTATACTTGGGTTCTACTTCTGAATTTGCCTCTAGTTTTTCGCGTCATTTTGATTTGATTTGCTCCAAGCATCGAACTAAGCTCGATGTTGTGTGAACTTCTGTCGATCAGTATGTGTACTGTGTTGACTGTTTGTACTGTTAAGCACTTAAGCAATGTTGATTATTCAATAAAGTTGTGAGCGGTTGCAGCTTCTATGCCACTGCATATCGGTATATATATCTATATATCTCTACAGTTTTAATTCTTGGATGACATTTGCTTTTACCACTCAAGCAGATAGGAGTAAAGGATCGAAAATACTATACTTGCACAGGAAGAGCAGTCTATAACGGTTCAAATTAAACGACAATTTCTCTAACGATTTGTTAGTTATAAACTGATAGAGAATAAGGGTTAAGCTAGTGATTACTGCGGGGAATCTTACTGATAGACATGGTTAAAATTTAAGCAGACAAATTAATTGTAAGGATCAAAAGTTGGGGTCATTCTTGGCTTCTTGCGACATATATATGTATGTAAAACATGTTCATATATAGTACTATGGTTTATGTGGAGAGTTCTTGGCAAAGTGGGCTTTGGAGATGAGAGAAAATGGGAGGACCAACCAATGACGTCGCGTCTAGCACTCTGCTTTCCAGTTCTCTTTATAAAACTGCATTGAATAATAAAACAATACTGAATATAACAAGACGTACACTGATATCCCTAGAGATAACTTATTTGTATTTCCCCATTTTGATCAGTTCAAGCAAAGAAAAAAGTTCAGGAATCTGTACACAACAAAAGTTAAGGTTTCCTGTGGGTCCTCGACAAAAAAAATAACAAAATCAAGGACGGTACATTTCCCTTGAAAATTTGAGGGAATATAACGGTTGGCTACGTGCCCACTCAAAAGATGTCACGTTGCTTAAATTATTCTGCATGCATGCAATGGTCGTCTAAAATTAAGGCTATGCTTGAGAGTTGAGACAAACACGAAAGAAAAGTGTCATTCGTTTTCTGCACGCACATTTTTTTTGAATGGTTAAACAATGTACATTTTTGTGAAAAATTCTATAGAATAGTTGCTTTAAAAATCATGCATATTAATATATTTTCAGGTTTAAAATAATTAATACCCAATTCGTTATGTTTTAATAGTTCATCTCGATTTGTATATCTTTTTAAGAGTAATTCTACAGTTCTTAAGGAAGTATCATGAGGTACTAAAGATTTAGTGTAAAATTTGGTACCTCTTGGTATCTAGGTACTATAAGGTACTAAATTTACAGTAGAAAAAGTGGTACCTCATAGTACCTCCTCAAGTACTGTAAAATTACTCTCTTTTTAATCTTCTCATTTTCCCTTCTCTCAAAACTGTTTAAACAAAGATTCGGCTAAACCTGAGACACCTATCCACGAACTGACTCCGTTAACCGTTGCGTTGGATTTTTTTTTTTAACGATTCGGCACGTAGATGTGCCCATACATTGAATATAGCAGGGAAAAAAACTTTATAAAGCTATAGCTTTACAGCTTTACACAGAAAAAAAAAGGAAAGCTAATTAAGGGATATGATGTGGTGTTGATATAGTTTTGTGCTACGGTTGATAGCGTCATGCTCCTATTTTGCGTCACCTGCAGATAGTGGAAGTGATCAGTGATGGGCTTACGTTTTGGTTCACTCGGCTAGGATAAGGATCGGACCTAATTAACCAATTGCAATTTTGACCTACGTTAAGCTACGCTTAGCTTGCAGAGTTGCAGCCTTGCACTGTCCGGGCGAAGACCCATATTTGACATTTGACAGCTCGTTGACATCTGCCTACCTCTGCAATTCCCTCTCAATCACTAAAAATTTGTTTCTGAGGCATTAGAAATCTACCGCTTTCGCTATCATGACTACTTCGACGATGCATTGAAGATGCAGTGCTCTCTGAGCTGAGAGATTGGAAAGATGGAAAGGAGTGGCCGCTAATAGTAGATTAGATGGAAAGCAATTCTCTGTTTCTCTTGGCCGGTTTGTATCAAATGTAACTTGAAATGCAAAATTCAGGTGGGGAAGCACCTCTCCTGCCTCGATGACATATTAAAAATAACTAATGGATTGATCATGCATGATAAAATTATATCCAACCTTTTTAAGTTTTTGCCTCAAGCCTCGGCTATGGTTTAGGCTGTCCTGGTCTTGATCCACAGCTGGTTGGGAAGTCCATCGAAGGTTTGGAATCTATATTACAAGGATAGAAAATAAATGTGGTTACTTAACAACAGTATTGGCCCTAATTGCTTGGCAAACAACATAAGTTGGTTTTAACCGATGATAGCATGAATCTAGCTATTTATCTTATTATTTGAATCTACATTGAACCTATAGCCGATTGATCAAAACCCTATTAACATTAGCTGGCCTCGCTACATCACATCAGCCTATGGCCGATCGACTCCTTGATCTTATACGATCTGTCTATCTATCTTGTTAGTTGCAGGATCAAACTAACTGACACGCCCAGAACCTGATTGATAGAACCTGCATTGGAGCTAAGTAGATCTCTCAGGCCTTTGTGTGCGACGGATTTCACGTCAACATCGGGTCAAGGAGCTATCTGCTGGAGCTTAGCCATCCCACGTTTGGTTCCAGTTGGACACTTGTTTTCTTGCCAATTTTTCTCTCTTAATAATAGATGTTAAGCGTGCGTTTGGTTGACGGTCAAGATTGGATGGGATATGGCGAACCATATTTTGCTGGATATGACGATCCATTTTTTTATTTGGTTGAGTAGATATGGTGATTCGGTTTTTTGTTTGGTTATAGGGAGGAATGTGGATTTGGTGATCTATTTTTTTTTGTTTGATTAGAGGGGGTAGGATGGATGAATGGTTGTAATTACCCCTTTATTAGAGGTGGCAAGTACTCCTTCAATTCACCAAAACCACAAAATTATAAATCTAATACAAACAAAAAAATCTAAAGAGAAATGAAAAATCACAAAGAAATAAAAAGAGGAAAGGGGAAAAAATGAGAAAAAGGAAAAGAAAGAGGTCATCCTCCCTCTTCTCGTCGGCCGTCGGCTTGCTCCTCTTGCCAGCCGCTGGACCGTCTCCTCACTCGGCCGGCACGTCTCCTCGCTTGCCAGCCGCTATCACGCTCGGCAGCCACCACCTCGTCTTCTCGAGGCCTTGTTCGGGCGGCAGAACCCCCAGTGCTGCCTCACCGGATCTACCACCTCCAGATCCCGACGAGGAGGAGCCCGGGAAGCGGCGTTGGTCCAGATCCGCCATGTCCTCTTCCCGCTGCCGCCGTCCCCTCTTCCCCCTCGCTATCACCTTCGGCCTCCGGGCTCGCCGCCACACTCGCATCTAGTGCCGCCTGCCGAGCTCGTCGCCATGTTCGCATCCCGTGCAGCCGTCATCGTCGTGCTCGTCGTTCGAACTGGCCACCGCCTCGCTCACTTGCGTGGTGAGGGGTGACGTGACCCACCTCGGTCGCTCGCCCAGGCGCTCGAGCAGCTACGTCTGGGCAAAACGGTCGGATTCCTCCATCCAACATCTAAGGGAGAATATTCCCCTCCCGACCGCCCTATGCCACCCCGCCCACCAACCAAACACCCATAAAAAAAGAGGCCACCATGTCCTATCCACCCCCTCCCCCATCCAAACACACTCTAGTCCCTCGTTATAGGGGTGGGTAGAAAAAGACTGAACCAAAAGACCGAACCGAAAAGATAGAGACCGAGACCGAAAAGATAGAGACCGAGGAACTCGGTCATCAATTTAGTCCTAGGTAGTGAAAGACCGAATTTTGTTCGGTCAATTCGGTTAGTCTTATCGGTTAACCGAATATACCGAAAAGACCGAATTAACAAAAAAATATCTAAATGCAACCTACAATCCATTAAGTTCAATAGGATTAAACTCTAATTTTCACATCCCTACTTCTTCTAGGCATGAAACTAATAAGTGTCTTTACTCATACGTGCTTACGAATTTTTTTTTGTGATTTTTGTGTTGAAAATTTTCCATGTTATTTCTTTGCATATATGAAAATGCTGTTGAATTTCGGTCAGGACCGAGACCGAGACCGAATTTTTCGGTCCTGATATTTTTGCATTGAAATTCGGTCTTCACTTTTCAAAGACTGAAATGACCGAAAGACCGAAGACCGAGACCGAAATTTTCGGTCAGACCGAATGCCCACCCCTACCTCCTTAATACCTCACGTTTTATATAAAAGCCAGTGGAAACATGGGAAAATTAATATTATTTGGTTCACATTGTCTCAAAGTTATAAGGTCCAAAGATTGTTTCACAAAGATTGAGGTTCAAGAAAAAAATTTACAACACGTCTTATTAAATAAAATGTAGTTAGGAGTGGGAGGTTGATTTTAGGATAGGAATAAATTTGACTGGGAATAAATTTAAAAGTATAATTGAATTATATATACAACCTGATAAGGTTCTATTTCCATAAATACAATTGCAATTTGTATATATAAAACAGATTTCAAAAGAATATAATTTGTATACAGCCCATCAATTTGTATATATACTAGCAAAAACCCGTGCGTTGCAACAGATTATTCAAAATAGCCAAAAAAATATTCTTGGTTGAAACAAAATTCTTTGTCTTAAAAGACAAAAAGAAAAAAAATGCTATAGTTGGTCTTTAGTTCAGATTGATGAGTCCATCTGTGTTATCAAAATGCATTTATCATATAATTGTAAAATATGAAATCATCAATAAATTGTGTTGTCCGTCTCATTTTAAACTACAATAAAAACCTAAAAAGTTTGTAAGTTTTTGTAATCAAGATTGCAAGAAGCAAATCAATAGAAAATTAAGAACTGTCTTGTAGAGAAGAGTAACTTAAAAAACTACTCCTACACAACTACTCGTAAGTCATAACTATATTAATAATCCACATGTCAGCAGCAGTGGTGGTGGTGGTGGTTGGCAGCTGCCATCATCACTGTCTTTTATTAGTAGTATAGAAACAACAGATTTTTATCCATTTATACCGTTATATCCTCAATATTTCATGATGCAAATCTTTTTGAGTGCTGATTTATAGGTCGTAGAATGAACGTGAAAGTTCCTTCTCGATCTCGGTTAACAATGTATACATACATAGAGTCATAGATAGAGGCATGGGATGGTATACAGGGGCAGAGCGGGAGAACTTAGGCTTGAGCCTTAGACTTGCTCCAAAACTCCATATAAATCTTTTAGAAA